AGAGAAAGAAAGGAAGAAAAAAAGAATCCGATTCTCGGTTTACCTTCATAGAGGGCAAACAACCTGTTGTGGCTAATTTGTTATTGATCCCAGAGTCGAAGGGAACCTGAACAATTATCCATGAGCAACCATGCTCGGCCCGACTATGGCAGTCTCTTCAACCCAGCGAGACGAGTTTGGCTTAGAATTAATTTATGAATATTTCAGAATGCAAATGTCGCGGTTTAAAGTGCAGTTATTGCCTGTGACAATTGGTTAATTCTGCGTTGTGATGAGGTTATTACGGGCTATTGGATTTCGCAGCATTTTTCGACGAAAATGAATTCTCTTGAATCATCTGATATATTATACGGTCCCTTGTATATCCTGCTGATCCTTGAGATATGGTCAAACTGTGCGGTTGCTACTGGTTTATGTTCCCACTGGACAATGTCAGCCCCATTAACACCACCTCGACATATTTTCAATAGAAACCTGACTTGGTCATGTTGAATACCTATGAAGTATGTAGCTTATAAGGCTTCATGTTTAGATACCCAGAGAGCTTGCTTCAAAGAGTTGCATCGGAAAAGGACATCGGCCAAGCACGTGGACAGTTGGTAGCACCGGGGTATTGACTTTTATGCCGTGCGCCACGACTTTGCGACGTTGGGAAAATCATAAAAGACATAATATTGTTAATAAACTTTGTGGTAATTACAATACTTAAATTATGTGTGTTATGTATTCCACAGCATGATTTTCGTCTGCCTTGGCGCATGCTACTGGTGCAGCCTAGACCAGTTATGCGGCTGGCATATGCTGACTTGGAGACGCGAATGCTTCTGATGCGCGTATTGTGGAAAGTGGGAATGAGTGAGAAATGACCAAATGTTTCATTCCCCAGTCTCTGTCAGTGCAAGGAATGTCCTTCCCGGTGCCATCTTGCTTGGGACATCATAAAGCTTAAAAGATCTGAGACATCAAATACCAAATGTCAGGCGCGTGCAATGAAGACTTGAGACATGCCTAGCGCGTTGTCTCTGTAATCTCAATACAAAGTCTAAATTCTTGTATCTCAAGAGACTTGGAGTAACTGGAATGATGCTTGATGCCTTTTAAATCAGCAATATTTCCCGTGCGAACGCAAATCTTTCGCACCTTTGGCGAGCAATCCAACTTTTTTTTTTTCACTCGTTTGCTCCATGTAGCTTTGGAGAAGCTATCATAGACAGGATGAAGGCTCCTGTGTTGTCATTCATTTCGTATTCAGTCGTTCTCTTGGCACCTTTGGCAGATGCGAGGCAATGCTCAAGAAAGAAGCTGAGTAAGTCTGTCTTGAACGAGTGAGGGTGTCATAAAGCAAAGCGACTGACGATTATACAGCATATCTTGCCAGTTCGAGTCCTGTCATTGAGTCAACGAGGGTCCCATATCCAGTTATTTCTGGTAGTCTAACAGAGGCGACTGCCTCTACCAGCGATGGTGCGATCATTTCTGCAACTTTGACGGATTCGTCAACCTCCACTTCATCATCTATACTTTCCTCATCTTCTTCAATTATTTCTGCTGCTTTGACAGATCTATCAACCTCGAGTTCGTCATCCATACTTTCATTATCTTCTCTTTTGTCACCTTCTTTACCTTCTCTTTCATTGACGAGTGTTTCCAACACCGAATCTCCTACATTTATAACTCTTTCAACATCGTCCCCGAGCAGTTCTGTGCTCTTACCAACAGAAGTAACAGTCACTCCTTCTTTGAGCTCATTGATCAGTCCGATCTTGGATTCGACAAGCAGCCTGACTCTTTCGCCTACGAGTTCGTCAAGCTCATCCTCAAGTTTGTCGATTAATCCCACGTTGGAGTCCACCTCCATCATCAGCAGCAGCAGCACAAGCGGCACAGCAGTCTTACCAATCAGCACCACCGTTACGCCTTCTTCCAGCTCTTCAAGCCTGACGACACTGCTCTCAAGCACCACTGTTACATTGTCATCGACCACCAGCGTATCGGTCTCGACTTCCACTTCAACCGTCGTGCCTTCGAGCTCTACTTTGCCTCCTGGAGCTGTGGTGACTGACCAGGCCTTCATTGATACCGTAATTCGTCATCACAATGTTCATCGCACGAACCATTCAGGTATTTGCTCCCGCACCAATGCGCCTTGTAGTTCAAAATACTAACCAAGCGAAGCCGTTGACATGACCTGGAGCCCAACTCTGGCGGAAACGGCCCGCAAAATTGCGTCGAGCTGCATTTATGGCCACGATACCTCTGTTGATGGTGGCGGCTACGGGCAGAACATTGGCGCCGGCTTCCTCTCTACTGCCATGGGCCAGTTCATCACCGAGGGCCTCTACAATAGCGAGGTTAACAACTATGTCTATTATGGTGGGGAACCCAACCTCAACACCCTGTCGCAATGGGGTCACTTTTCTCAAATTGTCTGGAAGAGCTCGATCACGGTTGGCTGTTATACTAGCGATTGTTCAGCGACTGGACTATCCAATGCTCCTGGAATTCCTCCATATTTCACCGTTTGCAACTATGGACCTGCAGGTACGTGAGATATGTGATGACTCCCAATGAAGAGATTGAGATGGCTGTGCTAATGCCGCATTTAGGCAACGTTATCGGGGGTTTCGGGGCCAACGTCGGGCCCAGCATTGGCCTGGCAACTGTCGATGCCAGCTATGGGTGCCCCAGTCGGGCCAATTGTGTTTAATGCATAATTTCTTTTAATGGCTATCAACAGGAGCCAGGAGTTCCGTATATTGTCAACAGCATCTACTTAATTCATGGATCTTCTCAATACAACATTTTTAATCGCTGATCTGTCATATGCCATCATGGCGACCGTGGAGCTAGAGTATCATGCATCATGTCGACTGACTCGCGCTGCATGAGGTCATGATGGCTGAGTATAAGAATGGACCCGTCGGCCTCGGGATTTATAGACTGTTCTCGGTTGGCAAACCCCTGTCCGTTCTCCCCACAGCCAAGAACATGACAACAGCATGAATGTCGGGTTCACAGGGGTCTTTACTCTTGCCTAGACATCACCCAGGAGGTATTTTATTCATTGAAATACTGATACCTTTCATTTGAATGGACAAAGGGAAACGGCAAGTGTTTTCCGTGTACTCGGCAATCGCTTGGAGAAGCTGAGGGGTAGTGCTCCATCGCCCCCGGCGGCCTCGGTCCCGCAATGCTATGTGCTATGGAATCGTGTTTGCAGCTGCATATGTAGGCCACCGTAGCATCAGACGTGAACCCCTCTCTCAGCAACATGCATCAGTCGAGGTCCCGCGGTCCAATTACAGCACCATGGACGCAGTGGAATGGGTGGCGAGCTGAGTAACAAGAGGAGCAGGAGGTATACACGAACTGACGCATGCCGACGCTGTGATTCCTTGGTCGTTGCCGAGACGAAATGCGATCGACCATGCGTGAATGAAAGTTATATTAGAGTCATCACACCCCGGCAGTACAGGAATCGACTTTGGTTGAAGAATAATCTCGAGCTTGTCAATTTCTTGTGATCTAAGCAACGATTTTGTAACACTTTTCATTATAGATAGACCGAGCACAATGTCTACATCAACATCATCTGCTGGAAAGAAGTTCAACACTGAGTTGACCGACTACTCAGTCGCTCACGAGGATAAGTCTGGCCCATATGCTGAGAATCTCGAGGTTGATGCGCTAGTTGTCGGCGCTGGCTTTGGTGAGTACTGGAAAAGCGAAATTTGTAGGGGAGATACTGTGGACCAAAAGCTGACTGTGAACTTAAAACAGCTGGAATCTTTAGTGAGTAACACGACAAGATACTCTATACTCGTATTGACGTTTAATGTTCCAGTGCTAAAGACTCTTCGCGATCGCGGCAACAAGACCGTCATCTTCGAAGCTGGAAACGATCTCGGCGGTACTTGGCGATGGAACTGCTACCCTGGAGCTGGGGTGGACTCGGAGGTTCCGGAATACGAGTTCTCCTGGCCAGAAGTCTGGAAGACGTGGAATTGGACATCCAACTACCCAAACTACCAGGATCTCCGAGCTTACTTTGATCACGTTGATAAGGTGATTGGTGTCAAGAAAGACTGCGCCTTCAACACGGTCGTGATTGGAGCCAATTTCGACACGGCTACTGGCAAATGGTCTGTGCGGACTGCAGATGGCAGAGTCACCAAGGCGAAATTCCTTATTCTTGGGACTGGGTTTGTAAGTTTTAGACATGACCACTCGCCAGATGGCAACTTACTGGTAGACAGGCCGCCAGACGCTATATCCCGGACTGGCCGGGTATGGACAAATTCAAGGGCGTCATCCATCACTCGTCGTTTTGGCCAGACGAGGAAGTGGACGTGGCAAACAAACGCTGCGCCATCATCGGCACGGGTGCTTCAGGTGTGCAGATCATGCAAGCCTGGGGACCAAAAGCAGGTCAAGTCAAAGTCTTTCAACGTACGCCCAACCTCGCCGTTCCCATGCGGAAAAGGCCACTAGCCACTGAGGACCAGGAACGGAACAAGGAGCTGTATCCCCACCTCTTCAAGTTGCGGGAAACGAGCTTTGCCGGATTTCCCTACGATTGGTATGAAAAGAACACCCTCGACGACACTCCAGAAGAAAGGGAAAGATTCTACGAGAGTGTCTGGAAGGATGGTGGGTTCAGGTACTGGGTAGCAGTGTACAAGGACAATCTCTTCAACGCCGAAGCCAATCAGGAGTCCTACAATTTTTGGGCGCGAAAGACGCGCGCACGTATCGAGGACCCAAGAAAAAGGGACATTCTTGCCCCAGAGAAGATGCCACATTTCTTTGGCATCAAGCGGCCATGCCTCGAGTACAACTACTATGAGCAGTTCAACCGACCCACTGTGGACGTTGTCGACATCAAGGACAATGCCATCAAGGATTTTACCGAGACGGGAATCACCTTGGCTGATGGAACGCACCATGAGTTTGATGTAATTGCTGTTGCGACAGGATTTGTAGGTTATCTCGTATTCCTCACTAGGAGATCTGGCGCTAATATTTATTGCAGGATGTCGTCACTGGAGGTAAGATGAATGACAAGTTAGATGAATGATAACTTGCCATGGGACAGTACTGACCATTTAATTATAGTCATGACACAGCTTGGCCTGGAGAGCATCCACGACACCAAGCTGGAAGAAGAATGGATCACGGGAGCAAACACCTACCTCGGCACGAGCGTGAGCGGCTATCCCAACATGTTCCACATTTACGGCCCGCACGGCCCAACTCTTCTCAGCAACGGACCGTCCAGCGTCGAGATCCAAGGCAGATGGATTGCCGATCTAGTCGACAAGGTGAACCGGCAGGACATCAAGTATGTCAACCCCAAACGCGAAGCCGCCGAGGAATGGAAGAAGCACATCTTGGATTTGAACAACAAGTCCTTGTTCCCCACGACTAGATCCACGTACATGGGTGGTAGCATCCCAGGCAAGATTTATGAGCCCGTTTGCTACACGGGCGGTATTCCGAGGTACAAGAAGGAGATTAGAGAGGCCTTGGACAACATGACTGGTTTTGAAATTGTAGCGAATTGAGGGCAGCCATAGAAAGGCAGGACGAGGGCCCAGGAACTCGGGATGTTTGCGAAATACTGATTTCTAATCTTTTTCATCGTTCTCGCTCGTGATGGATCTAGGTCAACTAGTAAAACTCTCAGTATGCCTCACAGAATCCTCAAGAAGCTTGTGATGGGCCACTTGACTAGATGTTAATAATAGTTGCTGCTATGCAAACACATAACGGTACCTCACGTGACTGACACTGCAAGTTTTAGTAGCACGCACCCTTTCGTCTTTGCCGAAGCGTCAATATCAATCTATGATCAGTTCCGAGTCAAGCGTGGAAGTCTTCCATAATACCTACCTACACGGCTGGTGGGATAATTGAGCGGTCGATGTGACTTTAGGCTCTGAGACTGCCTAAGCGCGGCAAACAATTGACGTGACACAAGAATAAGCGGCAAGCCGCGCTGTCAAACAGACACCTTTAATCTATTTGCGGAAATTCCGATCCGAACAAAGGCTGATTGTCCCAAAATCTCAAAGCATTATTTCCTCTGCATGCAGCTCGGGCCGTGACAGTGCTGATGATTTGCACCTGTCCTCACCCCTCGTTCATTTAATCTTCATTTTTCACTCAAGACATGCTTGGAACGTGTTGCTTATTGAGAAAATGACGGGACGATCCGCAAAGTGGCATTCTCGGACATTTCTGCGGAGCGACTTGATTCGTTGCAATGCAAAATATGACTGCGGGAGCATCGGGTGGCAAGCCCTCTACCGACTGTGTATTCTGACTTATCCTCTAGACCCTTAGTCGTGGTTTTACATTTTTAAACGGCGTAAGGACAGCCATTGATATCGCTAGTCCGCTTGGTTGTGCTGCTCTAAAGGCGGTAGTTTGCTTTAGCGCTGAGCTTCTCAGAATGATTCATAGTGGGAATGTGGGACGACCCCTGTAGTTTGAATACTATACTACTCGTACATCTCTGTCCATTATGTGCCTATATAGAGCGTGTATTGTCGGTAATCCAGAACCGCATTCATTCATCAATCAATCAAACAATCATTAAACAACGCATATCCATATTTTCATGCTATCGCAAGCCGTCATCGACACAGTACTCAACTCAACAAACAACATGGAAGGTGATAAACAGATAGTCTTCTACGACATCGCCTCGGGTCCACCAAGGACATGTTATGCGCCTAATCCCTGGAAGACCAGGTAAGACACCACTTTGAAGCGGAAGGCTTCCATTGGCTGATTTTGTGGAAAAGATATGCTTTAAACTTCAAGGGCGTCGACTACCGCACCGCCTGGGTTGAGTACCCCGAAGTCACCCGTACCCGGATGGAGCTCGGCGTTCCACCATGTCGTTATCACGCCGACGGCTCGCCATTCTACACATTGCCCGTGCTACGGGATCCATCCACGGGAGCGCTAGTGGGAGATACCTTTGACATTGCCGTCTATCTCGACAAGCAATATCCCGACAGGCCTACCTTGATCCCACCACGGTCCATTGCCGTGTTCAAGGCCTTTAACAAGCAAATGGACGCCCTCTTTACTTCGACGGTGCTTCTTTGGTGTCAGGGCATTCCGCTGAATCCAGAAACAGCCGAGGAGTCCAAGGCCGAGTTCGTCAGGAGAACAAATGGTACTCCGTACGAAGAGATTACCGTCAAGGGCGAGGCCAGGAGACAACTGCTCGAACAGTCCAAGGAAAAGCTGGCTGAGCTCGCAGAGCTCTTTCAGCACCCTGAGGAGCCATTCATGGAAGGTGCCACGGCTACGTATGCCGATTTCATCATTGGGGGCTGGTTGACGACCATGTCGATTACTCTGCCAGAGGGTGACTGGACTGAGATCAAGAGCTGGCACGATGGAAGATGGGCCAGGCTTTATGCAGGTTTACGGAGATATGCGGACGTCAAATAAGTTTTATGGTAGCAGCGGTTCGACACAGCAAGGGTCGGTTGGCAATGAGATGCCACATGACCTTCGAACCAGTCTTGGTCAAGTCTTGCAAATGCAGGCGAAAGCCTCATCTAGCCTAGCTAAGTTGACGAAAAATAGACTGGCAATGCTCTTGAAATTACAGATTAATACATTTACGAATAACTATTTTACAATTAAAGAAAAGAGCCGCCGTCGTACATTGCAACTATTGGGCCGTGCAAGCAATGTCATCGATGTATCCATAGTTAAAGGTGGGACTGACGTCAGTGAAAACAATCCGGACTGTGTCAGAACCTGTTCCCGTGAAAGAGAATGACGCCGCGTTCCAAGTACGGTAGTTGGTTGTAGTGAGAGTATAAGTGCTGACTAGCGTGCCATCGACGTAAACGGTGATTGTAGTCAAGGGAGTATACAGTAGCATATACCACTGGAAACTGCAACCGTAGGTGACTCCGGCAGTATCACTAAAGGTTTGCTGAATAAACGGGATAATTCCTGCTCGGAAAGCAGTGGCCTGCAAAGAGTATGTTCCTGAGTATGGTTTGTTTGCCGTGACGCCTGCAAAACTTGAGGTCCATGGTGACAGGACCCCGCTTTCGAAACCGCCATTGACAATGACATTGGTTTGAACCGCAAACGTGGCTGTTGCCGTAGTGGATGTTGTGGAGGTGACGCCTGTTGTCGATGTGGAAGTCAGGGTGGTCTCAACCTCGCTGGTCACCGTGACAATGCTCGTTACGGTCAAATCAACCTCGGCAGTGGCGGTTGTAGTGATGGTTTCCGTGCTGGTGATTGTCTCTACGACCGTAGATGTGGTCGTGGTGCTCGAGGTCTCCTCGGCAGTAACGGAAATAGCTGGTTTTACACAGTTAGTATTTAGTACTACCAAATGGTTCAGATGCCACTATCCATACCAGTTGAGGCAACCTCGTTGTCCGTCGTGGTTGAGGTACTTGTCACTGTCGTCAATGTTGTAGTAGTCTGCGTTGTGGTAGCCGTCGCACCGATTGTAATGGTAGCCTCAACCGCCTGAGTGATGGTCGCAGTATAGGTCTCCACTACGGTTTCTGTCTCTTGGGCCACGGTGGTGCTCTCGATTACGGTACTGATCAGAGTTGCAGCAGTACCGACCGTTGTCACAGACACGTCATACACAGTAGTGTAGGCGGTGGTGTAAAAGGTCTCGGCTGATGAGGTCGTATAGTTGGCGGTCGAGTTTGTTGTTGGTACAATACACTGGCAGGCGTTGTGCAAGTGGGTTTCGCCAAAGGCAGCCAGCCACAGGTCTTTCTTTGATGACGCATCGGCTGTAGCGGAGGCCAGTGCTCTCTTCTGATTCACAGTAACGGTGGTGGTTACAGGCACAGTTACAACTTCAGCAATAGTTGTTACTGATACAAGTGTCAGATATCAGTTATATAGCCACGTACACAAAAGAACATACCGTATACTGTAGTGTATGCCGTCTCGACATCGGTAACAGTCGTGGTGGTGGTCTCGCTAGCAACGTTTGTCGAGGTTACCTCGGTGCCCACAGTTGAAGTTGCTGGCACCGTCGTGGGAATTGTCGTAAAGTCTGTTTGAGTTTCGACCTCAGTAAGAGTGTCGACAGTGACCTGGAAGACATCGCGCAGTTAGTAAAGAAACATCCTCATCAAGACCATTACCCCTCCTAGCCATAAGGACATGACAAGAATAAGATGGATATCTGGCTGTATATAGAGACCCTTGTTGACTGTACTTGGAAACAGGCGCAATACATACATAGACGGTAGCGGTCGTCGTGTAGCTGGTTTCTGTCGTGGTAACGACGCTGGTGATTGAGCTAGTCGCAGTCTCCTCGACAGTCTCGGTCGTGACGGTAGTGAAGCTAGTCTCGGTGGCATCAGTCGTTATGCTGGTATCCGAGACCGTGGCCACGCTGGTAAAAGTCACGTCCGCTGGGATGATCGTATCAGTGATGGTCTCAACCTGCGAGAGGGTCGAGTCGACGGTGACCGTGGAAGCAGTGACGATCGTAGTGGTTAAGGTTGTGGTGAGACTGGATGATTTTGTAAGCCAAGGTGTTTTTTTTTTTTTTTCAGCGTATCTGTAATGTCTTTCTCACGTTGTCGATCCTAGTGTGGCAGTGGGATATACTCCCATTTCCTTGGCGCAAACCGAGTATGCGTAGCAGTGAGCCGCCGACATGGAGACAACCAACTCATCGTCCTCCCATTGCTCAGTTGAGCCTGCAGACAAGTCAGTCTATAGTTCCTGATTTGCTCGCATAATGTGTCGCGAGTAACATACAAAATTGAGGATAGCTGCTGGCTGAAATGAGAGATGAGACCTGGGGAATCAAGGCCAAAAGCGGTGCCAATGACACCAGATTAGTGCAACGCATTGTGGCTTTCTTCCAAGGCGGTCCTGCTGGGTCGAATCGATGTTATTGTCGCAACAATGTCGAATATCGCCCCGGCTGAAGCGACAAACAAGCCAACCTCGGGTTCCCTTGCGCACTCGGCGGTTGGGCAGCGCTTGAGATATATACCGCCATTTCTGAGTAGGGGGCCGCCCGCAAAATGCCAAGTCTTGTCATGGCTTTGATGGAATGTGATGATTTCAGATCTTCATGTACTAAAAGCGCGACTATGGAATCCTCCATGCTGCATTTTGTTTACAGCCCCGGCACTAACGAAATTGAAAGGGGAAATGTTTAGTTCAGCTAATGGCGTTCCACGGGCGTGGCGTTTACTCTACACCTATTCAGCTCTTGGCGTACAACCTAGACGCAGGTACAGTGCATTAAGGTATAGTTTAGCGCAATTGAGGGGCGCTCGGGGGGTTCGAGACCGCGGCGGCAGTGGGCCAGCCGGAGGTGGATGCGCTAGAAATGTTTTCTCCTTACTGGGCACCCAGGGCACCCCGGCTTGAACCGAATTGTCAATTGCTTATGAGCACGGGCTTTGGGCTGAAATTCCTCCCCGAGCATTCCCCCAGTAACTTGATCACACCCATCGGAACATCAAGGGCCAAAACAGACATGAACCATATCGATGCTCTCCTCATTCAGTATTATGGTCATCACACCAAGATAATATCTTGTTCCTCCACCCCGGGAATGGTACCAAGCTCCCGCACAACCTCTCCATTCATCGCCCCGTGCACGTAGCAAGGGCCAACAAGCTGATAGAAACGCCCACTCGATCGTAGGACAACGGGAATTCGACAACCAAATATCACAGCTACGACATCGCCGGGAGATACTGATGTAACTCCCTTCCCAATGCAATGTCTCTGCGTTGAGAAGAAGGACGGTGTCGAGCCTTGTGATGTTTCTCTGCTTCGTGCCAGATACTCTTCTCGGAACCAATGAAGCTGTTCTGGGTCTTCTTCCATTAGCTTGAGGTAACTTTCACCCAGCGCTTCAAAAGGATGGCTTTCAAGTGAAGTTTTCAAAGAGGAAAGGAAGTCAATAATTGCGGCAAATGTGTTTTCGGAAGTTCGACTACCAGATGATGGAGTGCCTGCAGTCAATAGGTCGTAAGCAAAGCCTACAGCAAGTCGAGCCAGACGGTCCCGGTTTGTTTCTGGTGAGGTTGTCGGGTCTTCGAAAACCATGATCCTGAAAAAAGAGTCCAAAAGAGTCCTTGCAGATAGTAATGGCTGAGTCGGACCAAGACTTTCTTGATCTACGAGGACTTCGAGTATTTGTCGAGTTTCCTTTCCATTTGCAAACATTGCAGTATTTTTGACGGTATCAAATACTGATCCGCGCACCTGCAGCCGAGTCAGTTCCCCCTCTTCATCATGTTGGAATAGATAGAAGCCTTTTCTCCCTTTTGACGCGTTGAAGTGCTCGAGATAACTCGCTGCTAGATATCGAATATTCACACCGTGTGTCCCACGATAGTCGGGAACCCACGTTGGAAGGCAGATATCTATTCCATTCTTACAATTCCATAGTCCTGCAGTCAAGAGGTTCGAAAAGTCTTTCTGCCTGTCGATCAAACTCCTGGTGAAATCGGTATATACATGGCATACAGATCTCGTGTAGTCTGGAACGAATCCTAGGGATCGGGACATCTCGCAGACGCCCATGAGCGCATATAATTTGTCCCTCGGATCGGTGCATTTCAGATTCCTGGTGGGATAGAGGACATTGTTTAAGTAGGCCGATTGATCCCTTTCCACGCAAAATTGCGCGATCCCAAAAAACGCTCTGCGGAGGTCATGCACCCATGATTCGTTCATGGGAACCTCTGCCCAGAGGCGTTGATCCGCCATTACACCATCCATTTCACGAAAAGAGGACCAATCAACCTCAAAGCTTCCGCAGTGCACCACTGCACGTTTGGCGAGAACGATCTCCTGGAAAACCCACATCCTCTGCCAATAGGGTCGCTTGAGCAGTTTTGTCAGAGAGGAAGCACCAACTCGGTACGACCTTACGCATAAGACCACCCGCTGTTGGATGTGTTTTGTCTGCCAATTCGGGGTAGGCCAGCTCTCGATGGCCCAATTCTCAATGGTCCAGTTTTTGATGACCCCGTTCTGGGACGCGGAGACGAGATCCATCGCAGCTCCAATATCAACTGTTGCTTCACCGAGCCAAATTCTGACGCAGCGTGCACATGAATATATCTGGCCCATCTGTGCGACTTGATGATTGCGCTCAAGGGTATCTTTCTGATTGATGCACACACCATCGATCCAAAATACCCTTTCTAAAGTTGTGTGTCTCAAATATCGGAGTGTAGTATATAGAGTTCTAGTCACCGAGAACTCCATGCCATTGATGATGATCGTGCACATGTCTGTTGGATCACCCCAATGGTAAGAAATCGCATCATAACAGTCCTTGCTGGACGGTATGGACTGAGTAAATAAGCTGATCACGGGCGGCTTGTCCAAATTTGAATCAGGCTCGAGTCGCAACAAACGGAACTCCTCGGCCTTTACTGGCAGATCATTGTACACTATACCCTGATTAGCGGATGACGGTGAATTGAACGAAGATCATACAAGACTTCATATCGATTTCGCAGCAGTGTTTGACATCTGATACATAGCCTAGGTTCCAAAGCTAACAACGTAGTCTCACTAGGTGCCTGGAGGCGTCTCGATTGCCCTCCGAAAGTAGCCTATGGCAAAACGATTGTGGGTGCCCGAGGACGAAGTTGCAGCGGTGGCACCGCTTGAGTACGCGGCTTCCGATCTTGAAGAGTGATCTGAGCAAGCATTGCCGACCAAAATGGTCCTTTTGGTGATAGCATGTCCCGGTCTCCCATAGGCTGCACACCTGTCAACTGGATGTTGATAGTACAAACATCTACAAGAACTGTACAGCTCAATCAACTGGTAGCACATGATGTAAGTTGGGTTCCAAAAAGTTAAGCACCATTTTCTTTTAACACCTGGGAAGTTGTTAAATATTGACTATTACTCGACACTGCCTCATTCAGAGCCTTGGAGGCCTTGCAGCAGATATGGCGCCTAGATACTGGCAGAAAGTGCCCAAAATTGATACTGCGCCACTGGATATGTGCATGGCGATGCATGTCACCTGCTACCTTGGCTCAGTCTCAACCAATTGCGAGCAAGGGCAGCACAGTGGAGGGGTCCATTAAGATCTCTGGCGGGGCGCAGCCGAAAGCCACCTCCTCGCCTCCAGCCGATACGGAGGTACCTATAATTCCTTTGGGATGCAATCGACTCTAGTTTTCTACAGAGCATTCGCCATCTGTGACAGGCCAAATTTCTTGGTCTTTAGTGGTTCACGTTTAGATTGGGCTGTGACGAGGGTTCAGAACAGAGGCGGCAACCTTGTGACTGCATGCGCTGAGAGCATACTAGGGATATTATATCAATTGTAATTATACTTTCACTGGCTGCAGTGTGATTTCCATGCCGAATACTCAAGATCGCCTCTGTAGGGACGATGCACCTGTGAGCCTCCATTGCTCCTTGTTGTAGGACGCTGGCCAAACGCCATTCTGTCAAATGTTCATTAGCAAAGCCAATCGTCATCAGATAAGAGCCAGGAAGTCTGCGACGACTTACCTTTCCGGGCGCTAGGATACCATTCGGGTCAATCGCGTCCTTGAGCTTCTCGCTAAACTTCAGCAATGCATGGTCGTTCCAGCTATATGTATCGGCAATCTGGTCCATGAGTGCCAGATGCGTACGGTACTCGCCCCAGCCGTGCGCGGCGCAGTCGTCAATTAGCGTGCGAATCAGCTTGTGCATCTTCTCACGCTGCTCGGGGCTCTTGCGATCAAAGACGAGGCAGACAATGTGGTGCATCTCCCGCATGCCAATGGTAAAGGTACCAATAAAGTCGAAACCAGCGTCGAGCACGCGCTTCTTGGTGATAGAGTACTGCAGGTTAGCAGCGTCGCCCGTGATCTCAGAGATGGGCGAGAAGAACAGATGCGAGCCGTTGGGCAGCCAGTCCACCCACTTGAGCTCGTCCGTGGTCGGGATACCCGCCAGTGTCTTGGCCCGGATGTCGAGGACACCCGGCGACTGCTTGCCCTCCTCGGGCCAGAAGAACTTGGAGCCGGGAATCTGGCCAAAAGCTCCCTTGATCACCTCCCACTGCGCGTTGCGCATGATTTCGGGTCCGTACAGAGCGCCATAAAAGTTCCAGCGACCCAAGCCAAGTTGGTTCTGTATCTCCACCAGCTCTTCTTCTGTCAGAGGCCGGTCGACATTCTTGTAAGATTTCTTGTCGCCCAGCACCGCAGCATCAAGGAGAATGTGACGAATGCTAGGAACATTCATCAACACCATGGCCAGTCGGAGCTGGCGAATGATCTCAACAATCTGTGGCAGGTCGCTGTCCTTCTCAAATGTGATCAGGTAAGGTTGGTATCCACCGGGGTTAGGCATTAACCACATTCCCACTGATTGCATCGCGTTAAATTCCATCGAAAGGCCAGAGTCGGAGAACATGTGCTACTTACTCTTGACTACGACACCGTAGTTGCTCTGGGTGAAGATGCCGTCGTGGTAAGGTCCAAAACCGTAGTTGAACAACTAGTCTTCCATCAGCTAAGCTCTCAGCGCATAGATGATGCTCACATACCTGCCAGCATCTGTTTCCAGGCTGCTCGTCAATAGTTCCATCGGATGAGGATGCGCTAGGATTCGGCATAGCTCCCATGCCCGTCCGCACAAGCTCTCCATTGGGCAGTACAATCTCCATACCACAATGCATCTGAAAGATAATGTGTCAGCAGTTCATTTTGTCTGGTAATTGTGACCCTGAGACGTACCATGAAGTGGTCGCCATACGGTGTGTAGCCAACACCACGCTCCATGCAGTTTCCGAGGACAGAGCCACCGCCGAGATCAGGCACATCGACCCAGAGCTTGTCGTTCAGCTTCTTCTCAACCAAGTAATTATATAAATCCGTATACGACACGCCCGGCTCCAGCAAGCAGTAAGCGTTCTGCTCGCTGACCTCGAGCACCTTGTTCATGTTCCTTCCCATGTCGAGGCCGATGCTGCCGGGGACACGCGGTGCGGCGCCGCCGTAGCCGACATTGCGACCAATGGAAAATGGCCACACGGGAACCTTGAACTCATTGCATAGCCGCATGACAGCTTGCACCTCTGTGACCTTGCGAGGAGCTACCACGGCCGAGGCGATGAAGTAGTCCTTGTCAAAGACATGAAACATGTCATGGGCTTTTGAAGGGTCCAGGTAGGACTCCTTGGTAAGGACATCTTCGCTGTGAATGACGGTAACGTTTTCAGCCCCTACCACTTCTGTAACAGCCTTGAGGTAGGCCTCAAAACGAGAGGCCTCAATACCTGGTGGTAGAACTAAGGGCTGAGGGAATGCCATGGCTATACTAAGTTTGATAATAAATGCTGAAGAATGTGCAATGCAATCGATGCCCATATGCCATTGTGCGGATTAATGGCGATTAATATTATCTGGACTCGGTTATCTTGTTGACTCCTGAAAGAAACGTCAATAGACCACGCAAATCTCTTGGCATATGCGTATCTGGTGCCAGACGCGCCACTATGGAGATCATCATGTTATCCTCGGCCTCCATTCTCTTTCCCCCCTCGTTATGTTAGAGACTTGAGCTACTGCAGTGGGCGTGATCGATAGGTGCCAACGGTAACGAAGTGTGGGGCAAAGTGCTATCGACCAGGGGCTTACGAATATTTGAGTAATGGCCAAGAACGGTGATGATTGTTGTGCTGATGTGCCCAAGGCTGATTGAGATTGGTCCATGAAACGGTCCATGGCTCCATGAGCAGATTCTTAGTCTCTCTCGGGATTGGGATCCCACTACCCGTGGGCATAGTGGCATATGGGAAGTCGATCAACTGCGGCCCGGTCAAAAAGGTGGTCCTAAAGCAGGACCCCCTCCCCTCGATGGATTGCCGTTTAGCACAACCGTTACTGATGTAGTGTGGGCCTTTGCCAATAGGATCGAGCCGGAAACTCGTTATGGATACACTGAACCCTTGACGACAACCCTTGTATGGGCCCATTATAACCGCGGACGATGGATGAGGAACCCGGAGACTTATTTTGCGCACTGGCAATTATCGAAAGACATGTGTTAATGTGCCCATTTGTGTACCCATCTGTTGGTTCTATCATTCTAAATCACTTCCCAAAGAGGAATGCAAATGCAAGAGAAGATGGAAGTCCACATCTTCTTGATAGACACAATGTTGTTCATCAAATAATCAGCTAATTTCAATGCCTCGGGTGGAGCACAAATATCCCATACTCCTGCATGACCCGGGAAATGCGAGGGTCCGCTTTCTGTAGAGACTAGGATCACCAACAACGTGCAGCGTTGCGTAGTTGGACACAGCCTATGCCGTCCTGTAAAGCGACCTAAAAATCAACTATATTTTCTTTACTCGTGCCACGCGAACGCTTTAGCGAAGGTTCGAACACCCGGCAGCTCGGCAGTCCATGCTTTCGTGAAGGTTGTGGCCTTTCTAGTGAGAGACTCCTTACCTACCTACATAGGTATGCAATCAAAGCTAGTGAACTATATGACGAATGCTTCCCAGGACTTGAAATGGTGATTCTTCAAGTCCACATCTGCTTGAGTACACTCGAAGTGAAAGATCCCCTGAGATTGACCTGTGTTTAGTACGTCAAATTTTCAGATGGTCTCCCAAATTTGGGCCCTCCTCATGAGTCCCTGTGCATCTAGGCTCGTCGGTTGTTCATCGACTATCCATACAATTTAGCCTCGTAAGGATCTTGGAGGCTGTGGATATCCATGGGTCATAGAGTTTAGTCTTGCACATGCCCCATTATTTCGACGGTGGTCTTGAAGTACTCACTCACAATATTAGGTATGATTTTCCCTACGTAAAAGTGACCATCTTTTTCTTTTGAAAGGTGAGAGACATACTCTCAAAACTCACACGAAATCTATGCACGTCTTCGTTCTAGATAGGAGATTTGAGGCTGATATGAACTGCCGCTTTCCAATCCCTGAGCGGGTATAAAATCCTGCCCTGCATCCGATGCATGCATAGGGGGCTGGCTGTCTGTCAAGGGATCAAGTTTGGCTCTGTGGATACGCCGTTCATCCTAGCCTCGCATGCAATCAACACGTTTTGCGAGTTTTTGACATGGGCGCCATGTTTTGAAGAATCCTTCGACCATAGTATACGTCGTCTGCTGGGGTATATACCCTTTGGTGGACCCAGACTTGGCTCCGAAATTTGTCTGTATTCCCGAGGAGCTCTGCATGGAGGCGCTCGCTTAAACTAGACTCTCAGGTCGCACATGCAGATCTGCAAGGGAAGTCTGAAGGAATACTTCGATTCATGTTGGTATCCAATCGAGGCGGTGGAGTCGACGGCAGACCATATCATTGGACACGCTTCGCGTCGCTCCTGACTCGATCTAGAACGCACTCGGCACACTCAGGAACCTGAAGATTGCAAACACAAGAAGCACTGGCCTCTTTTCATTTCAGATACATAGTTGAAGCATAACGTATAGCGATTGTGATGGAAAAGAATCGGCGCAAAGTTTGCAAGAGGTCCACCAGCAATGATATGATCCAAAACAGGGTATGTTTTTGAGACAGGAAAACCCAAGCGATAGGTGCCCTTTATAGGAAAGATTCGCTGGTATGATTACAAGCAAGGGCACACTATCCCTGCAAATTGCTAACGGTACTTTGTGCCCGCCCGTTCTATCCATAGTCTAGAGTCCTTTTCTAGATTTGTGCTGGCATTACATGATCGATCGGACTTTGAGTGGGAGGTTTGGTCTAGCCGAGGAACGAATGATTAAGTCCAGTGAGCCCAACTTCAGACAGCAACTTCCGGAGCAACGCGCCATTGCCTTCTCACGAAGCCTCTCGCCATCATTCAGCAGCGCTCCTCAACATCGTCATGGCTTTTCCTTCAGGACAAGCACCAATGGTGCTGGCGGTGATGTGGGTGCAAACGATATTGACTCTCATCTTTGTCCTTTTGCGCCTCTACACTAGGCGCATCCTGCTGCGAAACATTGGCCCAGACGATCATCTCAGTTGGATTTCAATGGTGAGTTGATGCTCACACAGACATGCAACACTCTGTAGATAGTATTGCTAACTCGACGCACTGCAGGTACTTTTCATCTTGTATACGACTTTCGTCACGGTAGCAGCTTTTCACGGGCTTGGAAATCACGCCGCAGACATTACTCTGGAGCAGTTCGCCGAGTCCACAAAATGGGAGCTCATGGGCCAGTCAAGCAATATCCTCGCCATTGCCACGAGTAAATGCTCGGTGGCCATTTTCCTGGTCCGAATTGTCGTCCAGGACTGGCACAAGTGGGCGCTGCACTTTTGCATCTGGAGCACCGTCTTTGTGTGTGTGTCGTGTATCATATTGATGTATACGCAATGCACACCTGTACATGGCATCTGGGATCCAAGGGTGACCGACACTGTTTGCCATATCAACTTTACGGCGGACGCCATCTTCTCTGGATGTAAGTAATACATCTGAAAAGACTTTGATTCATACAACTGATTGCAGATAGCATATACTGCTGCGATGGATTTCTTCTTGGCCATTTTCCCTTGGTTCATTCTGTGGAATCTCAACATGAAGCGCAAGGAACGACTCACAGTCTCGATTGGACTGTCACTGGGAATCATGTGAGTTGTTGTGTTCTGGCTACAATCTAACTGTAACTAATCCCCTTCCTCAGTGCCGGTATCTGCGGTATTGTCAGAGCCGTAGAGCTAGAAGCCATTGATTCCAAGGCTGATTACCCATGTGAGTTCTACAATCAATCAAGGCTGCCAATGAAATTCGTACTGACATTGGCGACACAGATGTCACCGTTCCTATCCTCATATGGGGCTCGAGCGAACTAATGGTCTGCATCCTCTGCGCCACAATTCCGGTGCTGCGACCATTCTACAAGCACGTGACGGGCCGCGGAAGCTCTACTGACCCATACTCTAATAAAAATTATGGATCGCAAGGTCCCAATGGTAGCAATTGGCAGGAGCTGGAACCCACGAGCAGAACCAAGAACGCGACTGAGTCGGTCACGTGGAAAAGTCGAAATGCTGCGACAGTCAAGGGCGACAACGCGAGTGACGAGAGTGCTCTGTTTCAGTCGGATGATGCAGACACCCGCAAATTTGCGGGCGGTATCAAGAGAACGACTGAAGTAAATGTTTCATATGCATAAAAGGTACCTAGTTCAAAGTTTAAGCGATTGTTTAATAATAGATTTAATCTGGATTTGGAAAGTCCCAAGTCGCCAAGGGGTTTGTGAACTTACCACGTGTACGTTTTGAGATTATAGGCTGGTTTGCTCTGCTGATTCATAGACCGAGGGAGATTTTGATTGTGTATGATTGTCGTAGGAGATTAGAAGGCCCTCAAGCGTTCGTTCAACTTTTCCTATCCGGTGGTCATGCTGAAATCAGTGTGGTACACTCACAACATAAATCGCTTGATGAAGGCAGCCTTGAGATCCTCGCGTTCCGGACGCTTCTCGAAGATAATATTGAAATCCTAATCTCTGACACCTCCCAACAGCCCGTTGCAGAAAACAAACTTGACTTTCCTGTCGTACTCGGGTCCATCTGTGTTGCCAACATCAGCAAACACTTTGACCCTATCAATACAGTTCTAGGAATCTTTCTTATTGCTAATCATTTGACAATATGCAAACCTAAGCTTACGAGTAAATTGAAAAATCACTAAGATATTTAAGGAAGAAAAATTGTTTAAACTATAGAGACTATGGATCGGTTTAAACGAAGCTGGAAAAAGAAAACCAGACCGCAAGCCGTCACAGCCGTTTAGGCTTTGCTCCCGTCTTCCCCAAGTCACACCGTCTGTCGGCACAGATTGCAATGCGCCTTCTGGTTCATAACATATAAGGGGCTTACTGGGCGGTCACTGAAGAAACGGGTAGATCAGACTAAAAGAGGAAGAAAATAGACGGATAAAAGCTAGAAGAAAACGAAAATTGAACAGTTCACTGTAGGAAATAAGCTTGATTCGCATTGTTCGTCACTAGCATTACGTGCTTATCGATTCTTATCTGTCTAGTCTTGATAGGCACCCTGACCCCTTAACATTGTTGAGTGCGTGTATACAGTGACTCAGGTATTAAGACTACCTTACGTACTATATTGGGCATAAGAGTTACTTATACCCATAGCCGAGTAATCCTTGTACTAGGTACATTGCTTGCATACGAACAACCAACAAACATAACGCATAAGGAATCGCTATTTTTATTCAGGCAATAGCAATTGGCCACTGACTGCTAGGTTGGCAAGAATCGACCCCCACTCTGGTGGTCAAACAGTAAAAACATAATGGAGGCATTGTGGATCACCAAGTTCTCTCCATCTAGTAGAGACTGAGGTGATAAATGGCTACTGACCTAGGCATGTGAGCAAGGTAGATCTTTGACTGCTCAAACACCGACGTCTTAACCCCGCACCTTTTTTATCCTCCCAAGCTGATGTGAGAGGACATTGAAGATGCTCCAGTTTGTTACAAATAAAGCCAGATTAGCCATGTTTGGAATAACCTCGCCCATCACCATCCTCACAGCCATTCTGTCGATTGTTTGGCTGGTCTGGAGGTTCTGGGAAACTGTCTCTCCAGCCAAATCACTGCCCGGTATACCACTTGTCGAGTTTGGCGAGAATGACACCAGGCAGCGTTATGCGACTGAGGCCGGAAGCCTTTTGGGCAAGGGCTTTGAATCTGTGAGACAAGAGATCCCAAGTCGCCTCTCCTTCACAAGCTTGCAATTGCTCATCATCTTGGCAGCACATCAAACATGAACGACCATTTTGCATACGAGACTTCTTAAACCCCTCTCGTCCACGAGTCTTCTTGCCACTCAAGTACATGGATGAACTCAAAAATGCGCCAGAGGACACACTCAGTCTTGCTGCCATTCTTAATAATGTTTGCGCATCTTTCTCATGAACTCTCTGACGCTTGTCGCTCTTACCAGATTTTGCTAGACATCAACCATGAGTAAAGTTGGAGGTCCTCGGATCACGGAAGAGATCCAAACCAGTTCTCGACTTGACCTAAACCGCCACTTGAACAAGCTTATCGAACCCATGCGGGCCTTGTGTTTTGAAGCTGCCGAAACAGAATTGCCTGCATCTCCAGATTGGACCTCGGTCGTTCTATATCCCAAGATATTGACGCTCTTTGCTGCAATGTCCGCACGCGTCATGGTTGGTCCTGGGCTCTGCATCGCGTGGCCTGCCATTGCGATGAAGTATATCAATCGCGTGCTCGCTGCCCAGGGTGCCATTCGTAACAGGTATCACCCCATGCTCTACTGGATGGCCTACTATCTGAGCCCCGAGGTGGCACTGGTGAATGAGGCTCGTCGCGAGGCAGCCGAGCTGGTTCGCCCCGTACTCGAGGCCCGGCAGGCTGAATACGCGAACCGGGGCGCCGAGACCGAGAAGCACGACGACTTCATTCAGTGGGTCATGGACGCGTATCGGACCAATGGGAAGAAGGTTACACCGGATGAGACGGTGCAGAACATATTTATTGTCATGTTTGCATCCATGCACGGCACCTCTTTTGTCGCTCTACAGGCCCTCTTTGCGCTGCTGAGCGAACCCGATGCTCTATCCGAGGTTCGTGACGAAGTCAACCGCGTACTGAGAGACGAGCTCAAGGGCTCATCTATATGGACTCGCCACGCGCTCGGGGAGCTCAAGACGATGGATTCGTTCATGAAGGAGACGCTGCGCATGAAGCCATTTCAAGAGGGTAAGCAAAACAAGTGTTCACTCTCTGCTCTCAGACTCACACATAACCTCCAATGCCCGGTTCTATACTAAACCTAGTGCAGCCACGGTCCAACGTGTCGCCATGGTCCCTTATACATTCAAAGACGGGCTGAGGATTCCCTCCGGCACTGTCATGTCATTTCTAAATCTACGCTACAACACGGACGGATCGCGGGTGCCCGAGGCCGACACCTTTGACGGCAAGCGCTGGCTGCGGCGGCGCGCCGGCTTTGACACGAGCAAGTTCCAGTTTGCGTCCACTTCCGAGGATATGTTTGACTGGGGCGGAGGTCTGCATGCCTGTCCTGGCCGGTTCATGGCCGAGATCACCATCAAGCTGATTCTCATCTGTCTCATCACCAAGTACGACATGAAGCTCGTGGAGAGCGAAAATGATCGGCCGTCTGAGTCGAGACGTTTTATGGACCTGACTCCCGATACGTCGGTGCCGATAATGATCAAAGATTTGCAGGCTTGATTGCGTGGGAAATAGTCCGACAGAGGGTCGAATCGAACAGTCGCACTACTGAGTCTGTTGCCATTCCCGCCACCCCAATATATGAATGTAGCGGCTGCAACAGAGGTCACGGGACCGACGACGAAGAGTCTCGACTTGGTGGCGTCCTTTCTACACGGCCCAATCAGGCTGAGTGGTTCTAACAATAAGTCGAACGAACATGCCGGTGCTATTTTGTCCAATAAGCTCAGTCAAGCCGAATGCTGGGTGTGGTTGTGGTTGTGGTTGTCTGCCATTACACGAGCAATGGCGTAAATGGCGCACATGAGGCAAATCTGCTGAGATGCCTGATTCAATTTGCATTGACGGGCAGGAGAGGACTGGACGATGGGGGACGTCAAGACAATATTCGATTTACGGACGTTATTATTCTGAGGATGAGGCGCAGAAGAAAGCAATTTGGAGGGAATAACCAATGGTGAGGCACTGCCACGCTTTGATACGTTTCTGGGAGTATAGAAAGGCAAGCAATTCAGATATTGGGTATCATGCAATAGAATCCAGCAGAAATACAGCCCATACTTTAAAAGTAGACAACACAAACTTTAGGAAAATCAAGAGATAAAGAATTATTACGCTTGTCAAAACCTAGCCTCGTAGTGACTAACAATTTGCTTCATCACATAAATTAGGGACACATTGATCTGAATCAGGCGGGTAAAACCAGTGATTAATAGCAGTTACTAGGGAAAGGCCTTTTGGCTATGATACTCGTTCCAATATTTTGATTACTATAACGACGAAATCAACCCCAAAAGTGGGAAATCTAAAAATGCGCTTTGTACCCTCTGTCCATGACACTCCATGTGGGTGACAACAAGCCCCGCATTCTTCCAAGCGAGGCACAGCACAATGGGGAAAATAGAACCCGATGTCATTTTTTTGTTGACCCTACAGGCTCGAGAAGTTTCCGGGTTTGTATTCGTTATGCCCGAGTGGTTACGGCCGACAAATGTGGCTGCGGAGAGTTCTCCCGGCCCGAACCGGTTTTGTGTGCTTGCGCCTCATGGTGGACCACTAACACATGACATTGAGAAGAGGTGAAAACTTCCATTACTTACCTCAAGTCTTGTCGATTGTGCGACTTTACTGTTTGTCTCTTTTGATTACAGCGTTTTCGTAGTACTTCACCTCAAGAAGAAGAAAAGTGTCTTCATTCACGTCTTTGGAGAAACAGTGACTCGATATCGTCATTCTCCATATCACGATTCATGCCTGCCGGAGAAGATAGTGACTTTCATGGTTCTCTCGCCCGGCAACCTAGTTGAGGTAGACAGTATTATCTAGTCCTCTTTCATCCTATACTGCGCGAAGCAATCGGCCCGTTACATTTTAGCCAGTCAGCCCCTGTACGGCGCTAAATACCATCCCCATGGCACGGCTTCTCCCTAGTGAGATGCATATTTGCGGGGTGATTTCCAACGTGTATTCCTATGTATGCTTCGAGGTGATCGTCGTTGATGACTCTCGTGTGGCTTGTTCTCGTTTTAAGTTCTACGTTCCTATGTTCATATGTTTAACGTCGAGCGTGTCTCAAGATTGTGCCTTTGAATGAAATGATCCTCGCAATCAGACAGGCTTCTGTCAGTCGCAGTGGTCATCATCATTAGGTCGACCACAATGCTTTGTTTTTAGCACGAATGTAGAGGTTCTCCTTATTTCTTGTGCACTAAGTGTAGTGTAGAGTAGCTGTTTAGTCATGACTGACTGAGAAGCGGGCTAATTGTTCAAGTCTTTCGTAGTTTCTCCAGAGAAAAGCCGGTTTCCCTTGCTGTGCGCCACAGTTCCTGGTTGAAAAATTCGGTCGTGGATCTACGACCGACACGACGGAAGCTGAAAAGTATGTGTTTGCGAAGTAGGACAGGAGGCTAGACATGAACTTGGATAGACACCGCCGGCGGCATCACCTAAACAGGTTAGTTCTTCTCACCGTGTGCATCTTGTCCTGGAAACACATTGCTTGGCATCAGTGTGATGATAAAGGGACAACCCCATCATTGAGCAAAGACTGCTTCTCATATGACCACATCGTGACCGCTTCCATAGCATGGGGATGACCCGGAAACTCCGCGCAATCCTGTCGCCAAGCCAATGAGATGGGGTACCGGTTGAAAATTGTTTCCCCATGCTTTCCACTGCCCATGTGGTGCAACTCCAAGTCCTAGCCATGGGTATCCAATTAGCTTCGCCTCTCCACACTTCCCCATATTCTCCACGATTTCGCTTCTGCAACATTCCCCGAAGCCGACTCTGGTAGCCGGGTCTGTAAAAGCCTCAATGGAACATTTTTTGCGGCTCCAATGGTCGTGATTGGTAGCATTTCTTCGGCGATCAGGGTTAGATGCCAAGTATTGATTTTCTGTCTCCGCACGGGTTACTTGGGCTTTCGGGGTGATCCTCGATAGACCATGTACACCTAGCTTGAAAATGCGCGTCAACATGCACATGATCTTTTGATGGCTTCGGTGGGTATTTGCCGACAATGACCCGGAAGAGGTCTGACAAGGAGTCAGGAACGACAGGGTGCGATGGAGTAAAGAAATCGGTTGTGTGACGATGTATTCATAAATACAGCCCGTCCCCGTGGAAGTATGCTCTCGCAGATCATGTCCCATTCGCCTGATCATCCTTGGCTGATCAAAGATTGACTGCTCTGGCACAATGGTTTCAGTCACTGTTCGAGCCCTGCTGGGCCTTGCTGCTCTGGCACAGTCGATCTCCGCTGATGACAGCGCCATCACCAGTGATACCGTTTTCTATGGTCTTTCTGATCCCGTATACCCAACACGTGAGTGGTAGAAAAACTTGATTATGCTCGATCCTTGGGTTGCCGTTGGAGTACTAACATGATCACTAAGCGGAGCTGGAGGCTTCTGGCACCTGGGCTGATGCCATCAGCAAGGCTCAAGCCTTGGTCAGTCAGCTGACACTGGATGAAAAGGTCAACTTGACTGCCGGAGCCACAACCGAAACTGGTTGCTCGGGCTTCATTCCAGCAATCGATCGTTTGGGCTTCCCTGGTATGTGTTTGGCGGATGCCGGAAATGGTTTGCGAAACACGGACTATGTCAGCTCATGGCCCTCTGGTATACATGTCGGTGCAAGGTCAGTACTTACTAAGCAAGTATATACATATTGAGGATCCATGCTAAAGTCGATCACACAGCTGGAACAAGGACTTGACCCGCCAGCGAGCAGTAGCCATGGGCAACGAGGCCAGGAAGAAGGGCGTCAACGTTATTCTTGGACCCGTCATTGGCCCCGTGGGACGTGTCGTGCTGGGTGGAAGGAACTGGGAAGGTGAGTTGCACAGTTTGGTGGCAGACGCGGTACCAGAACAGGATTTTCTAACACGCCATGCAGGTTTCTCCGTTGATCCATACCTTTCTGGTGGCCTCGTCTATGAGACCGTGTCCGGTATCCAGAGTACTGGTGTCATCACAAGCACAAAGGTATGCCCAGCTGAGGAGTTGATCATACTGCGAAACTTACAAAGTAAACAGCACTTCCTCGGTCAGGAGCAAGAAACACATCGCCTGGCAACTACCAGTGCTCCTATCGTGGAGTCTATTTCGAGTAGCATTGACGACAAGACCGTACACGAACTATACATGTGGTAAGCTCCTCTTGACTTTTTCTCCTGTGGACTTCAGCAGACTCAATTCCTCTCAACAGGCCATTTTCCGAGGCAGTTCGCGCCGGCACAGGCAACATCATGTGCTCTTATGCCAGAATCAACAACTCTTATTCATGCCAGAACAGCAAGATGCTCAACGGCCTCTTGAAAGAGGAACTCGGATTTCAGGTAAGCACCCATGGTGTATATGTATACGAGGCAAGAAAGCTAAACTATTTGATCAGGGTTGGGTTGTCTCCGACTGGGGTGCTCAGCGTTCGGGAGTCGCTTCGGCTCTGGCCGGCCTTGACGTCGCCATGCCGGACGGTGATGGACTGTGGGCAGGCAACCTTAGTCTCTCTGTCACAAATGGAAGTGTCGCAGAGAGCCAGCTTGATAATATGGTTACCAGGTATTTACCCAACATGAGGAAGATATGCGAAAGTGGATAAGTTCTAACATGTTGCACAGGGTCTTGGCGTCTTGGTACCAGATGAATCAGGACGAAGAAGACTTCCCGGTTCCTGGCGTAGGATTGCCCGCAGATCTCTCGGCTCCACATGAAGTCGTGGACGCCCGCGACCCCAATGCCAAACCTACCCTGTTCGACGGTGCTGCAGAGGGCCACGTGCTCGTCAAGAACACCAACGGTGCCCTGCCTCTGAACTCATCAGAGATGAAGCTGATCTCCCTTTTTGGATATTCTGCAAAGGCTCCCAACATGAATAATCAGGCTCCTGTACGCGAAGGAGACTATTTCTCAGCATGGTCCCTTGGAGTAGAGTCTGCAAACCTTACGGAGATCAACCTTGGATTCCTGGGAAACCTCAGCATTGCCAAATCAGTCATCGCACCCAACGGAACGCTCGTCTCTGGTGGCGGATCGGGCGCGACTGCGCAGAACCAGATCAGCTCGCCTTACGACGCCTTGGTCGCTCAGGCCTATGAAGACGGAACTGCGCTTTTCTGGGACTTCGAGTCTGGCTCGGCACTGGTAAACCCAACTTCGGACGCATGTATCGTTATTGGTAATGCCTGGGCAACTGAGGGATACGACAGGCCCGCCCTCAGAGATGACTTCACCGATGGCCTAATCCTCAATATTGCGGATCAGTGTGCCAACACAATTGTCGTCTTTCACAATGCCGGTACCAGACTGGTCGACACATTCGTCGACCACCCCAACGTTACGGCAATCATCTTTGCCCATCTACCTGGACAAGACAGTGGACGCGCACTCGTCTCTCTTCTCTATGGCCAAACTAACCCCTCTGGCCGACTACCCTACACGGTAGCTCGCAACGAGTCTGATTACGGAGCAATGTTGAAGCCAGACGAGACTTTGGCGCCAGCCAAGTACGCACTGTTCCCCCAGTCCAACTTTACTGAAGGAGTCTTTGTCGACTATCGTCACTTTGATGCTCAAAACATTACGCCACGTTACGAGTTTGGCTACGGTCTGAGCTATACCACCTTTGACTATGCGGATCTCCTCATCTCGCAAACGGATGCTGCCACGCAATCGTACCCAATCGGCGAGACTGTCGAGGGCGGACAGGCCGATCTGTGGGATGTCATCGCCGAGGTCAGCGTCAATGTCACCAACAGCGGTGCGCGGGACGGCAAGGAGGTTGTGCAGTTGTACGTGGGCATTCCCGGCACCGATGTGCCCGTTCGTCAGCTCCGAGGATTCGAGAAGCCTACCATTTGCGTTGGCGAGACTGCGACGGTGGAGTTTGCCATTACGAGAAAAGACTTGAGTGTCTGGGATGTCGTTGCACAGAAGTGGAACCTTCAGGAAGGAGACTATAGCATTTCCGTCGGCAGAAGCAGCAGAGACCTCCCTTTAACGGGAACCATTTCGATTTAATTATAGTACAAGTCGAAAGAAAATAATGTTAATATAAAAAATTATAACATGAAGAAATTCGTTTTAATCGCATTCATTTTAGTAGCTTAAATGACTTTTTTATTGACATGTATTGGACTTGACGTTTCTTCACAAAACCGTCGTGCATCATCTTGCCCCTCAAAAGAATGGGTTAATTGTATTTCTTATTCCGAAGCGGCAACATCTGCTTGAGTAAATATTCTTCTACTTCCAATGCATCAGGAGATTCGACGCCAAATCTGACGTGAATGCAATGCCCAGGTACAGAGTAATGTACATAGCCAAAGCAGCTGCCCTCGGCCCGACAACCGGCGACCTTGACAGGGGTGGCGACCAGTACTGACTCGATAAGAGCTGCGATAAGAAACGCCGGGTCCCAAAATTTTGGTAGCGTCCCGAGTACAACTCCGCGTTGCGACCAGGAGTAGACGAGCCTCGCGACGATCTTGCGACATATCTTTGCCCTCTGATAATTGTGTTCCCCAGGAATCATGGCCGACTCAAAGCCCTCCACAACGCCCAATGCCGCACCGGCGGCCCCAACCCAGGCGCCAGGCTACAAGGCCGCAACGCCGAATCCTGCTTTGCGCATGATGGGATTGCCGAACCTGCCCAAGAAACTCCCGTCGCGCAACTGGATGATCTTTTGGACCATTACAGCCAGTTTCTCGGCTGCTGTGATATACGACAAGAGGGAAAAGAAGAGGGCAACCGCGCGATGGAGCAAGGCAGTGGCACACTTGGCCAAGGAGCCCGTTACATCGGCTACTCAACTTCCCAGAAAACTCACCATTATCCTCGAGAGCCCGCCCACTGAGGGCCTGAGACCTGCGCAAGATCACTTTACCGAGTACATGAAACCGATTCTGGCTGCCTCCGGTCTGGACTGGGAATTTGTTCAGGGCCGGAAGGAGGGCGACGTTCGAGCAGCCGTGGCTGAGAAGATACGGCGGACAAGACGATTACAAGAAGGCGCCCCCGTCGAGGAGCAGGAGCCCACTGGCGAGGAAATCGTCCGAGGTATGAGGCAAAGGAATGCGACTCCGGAATGGACCGGTATCAATGGAGATATCATTGTCGGCCGACACACATGGAAAGAGTACATTAGAGGCCTGCACGAGGGCTGGCTGGGCCCATTGACTGCTCCTCCGGTCCCCGAGATCCCGAAGCCAGAGACACTTGCCGAGTCCGCTGAAGGCAGTACAGAAGAGAAGAAAGAAGAAGAGAAGAAGGAGGAGGAAAAGAAGCCTGAGCGACCTGCACAGCCCGTACCACACAACACCACAAACGACTATGAAACTTCACCTTTGCCTTCCCAAATACCCGCAGAGTTCTCACCTTCCACACCCGTGCACTTCCCTCACATTCTCGGCTTCTCCAACACTTTTATTCGGCTGGGTCGCTTCCTCAACCGCCGCTCCTTGGCCGATGAGGTCGGTCGCGAGGTCGCCGCCGTCTGCTTGGCACATGCTCGCGAGTACCGCCAGGACGCCGTTGGCGAGGAGCCAGAGATCCAGACCGTGCTCGAGAAGGAAGAGGGTGACTGGCCGAAATCTGTATGGAAAGAGGAGAAGCCCAAGGAAGGCGAGGCAGATGTCACCACACCTGCACCCGAGAAGATTTGGACGAGCCCCATCGTCTTGGACTCGAGAATCACCCAGCGCATGCGACGCTTCGAGCTGCTTCCCGAGGACGAGGCCCGCGCTCGCGAGATTGTCGTACCCGAGGAGGAGATTGAGGGCTGGATCAAGGGAAGCTTCCGAGGCCTCTGGCGTTGGGCCACGGGCCCTTCCCCGCCCAGACCGTACTGGTCTGACGAGGAGTAATCATTGTGTGTGTCTCAAAAACGTCACTTAATCAGTCCATATTTGGTAATTCATTGTACAATATCGGGGTTTGATCTCACGCATTTGCAAGGCGCGCAGGGTGTACAACATCTGAGCTTCTGGGGTTTTGATAGAAGAGGCATCTGATGATGGTTTGTTAGATAGAATTGGAAAACCTCCAAACGTATGAATAGTGCCATCTTGTACATCAATCACGACTCTCCAATGATAGACAGCTCAACGAGCAATCTACTATTTCAACTCGCCCCCCTTGTATCTGAAAGTGGATGGTTAACGGTGGTAAAAGCTCATTTGCAGACCAAACCCTTCGATTGACGCCTGGCTCTGGCGTGAGTGACATGTAGCCTGGATTTTCAGGAGTGACTGCGTAACATTTTGAATGCGACTAAGCATAGATTCGCTCCTGGCTCGGTTGCTACAGTCACCAGAAATAGCATTTGAAGGATAGCCGAAACTTACTGATAACCATAATATAAAGGTAAGAAGAACCATCTATATTCAGAACTTCGAGGAAAGAGACACGGTACTCGCCTTGGGCCTGCTTGGAGGTCTCTGCGTACATCCTCATTTCTGGCATTTCAGTGGACGGGCTTGACATGAATATTTCGGTTAAATGATGGAAAGCAACCAGTGAAGGCCCACGAGTTATTCTCATTGCTTGTACGCGAACATTCAAGGATGACCGAGAAATATATTCCCAGTAATAGAATCTCCACGGCACCTTTCCTGACCGACATGGCCAGTCTGAGTGTATTTGAACCTTGGAGGCTCTAGACTGTTGTGAATACTCACGATGCGTATGATTTGTTATCTATTTATTTTTCACACTCTGGTCGGGAGTCCAGACGAAAGAAAATAATCATGGTACTAAATATTGGGTTCTGAGGTACAGAGTGGCAAACAAGATTTCTTATTATTTTTTCTTCTGTTTTTTTTTTTTTCTGAAATACGTATCTAACATGAATTAGGAGCTAGGAGCCTGACTTCGGCAACTAGCAAAAGATGCTACCACAGGTTTCCTGATGATTCCATTGATGAGACTGTTCGTCATTGGCCATCACATAGAACCTTGACACGACAATTCAGACGTGAAAAATTTCAGGTTCATTTAACTCACTGATTTCGCCGAGATCATCATGTAAAGACTTGCGCTAGAGGAGGTCTAATGGCACAACGAGCAGGTTCGTTGGAATGAGACATTGGATAGAATACATAAATATATTGGCAGTTAGCATTGAACTTGACCAATCTCATCCGAGTCTTATGATCCTTTTAACGGGAGTTCGGGTTATATATGGCGCTTTCCATTTTTTGCCGCTCCGATGCTGCTAATTATTACTTGAAAATAAATGATCTTGAGATATATATCTTACGACTAATTATGGCAGATATCCAAGTCTACACTTCTTGGCCCATGGATGTACCACTCAATCCGAAATTTTCATGTCACGATGGTAAGCTACTTGGAAGAATTCTGTCAGAATGATCCGGAAGAATTCAAATGGCGCTCACGCCTGGGGGTCCCAAGCAGAGCCATGGGGTTGTGTTGGGATGAAGTTGGTAATTATATTTGTAGAATTGTGTTTGATTAGGTACCAGGTAGTTTCGTCCAGCGAAAAGCTATAGCCGTAGGTTCAGCGACGGTCCTCCAGTGCCTCCCTCTGCTGAACATGTCGAGCACCAGAACCTCGCCACTAGTCAGTCTGCGTAGCCGTGGAAACCGCAACAGCCGAGAGAGTTCGAGAGACAGAAGGGGCACCCATCAAGGTTGTTGAATCACAAGCTTTCGACGTCAGAAGTTGATGGGGTTCAGAGTTGACATCTGTTGGCGCGTCCTTACGCGACATTTATCGTAGCCTTGCTGCACGCACTATCGGGGATTATACATTGCACCATTTATCAAGGAATGAAAATCAAGTCGTATATAACAGCCGATATACAAGCTCAACACATAATACGACGTATACAAAATTTGAGATTCAGAGCTGCTGGTCGTCGAGTCAGCCCTGGGAGCGACTTCAGTGTTCAGCTCAAGAAACTACTTGGTGAAGTCTACTTGCTAATTCAGCTGGCTATCGCTGCTGTCTACAGTGTGGTGAAGATTATTTACCTTGGCCGCAATTGAGATCATGGGGAAGCAACTCCCGTGCCAATATGTACAACGAGAAAGCCACACTGAAAACCCTTCAAGCTGGTTGCACCTTGTCGGCACTTTAGGTATGGCTTTACAGTTTCCTCAAGCTGCGTCTATATTGGTTACATTTACGACTTCCCATGTTTACACGCAAGTAAACAAAACGTTCATTCTTCTATTATTTTTAGGCGCCATTCAACGTACATGTATTGGTTGTCTGACTTTCGTGCCTCATCCTCCATTTTCTCTTCTTCATCTTCACATTACTTCCAGCAATACCTGCCGCCATTACCTTTTAACATGATTTCCAACACTTGCTGATATTATTATCGCCATAAAATCTTTCTAAAATATCCCTTTGACATTTTCTTTCAACAATTCTTTTCGCAACCATACAAGCACAGCCTAAAGTCCTCGTACGTCTGACCAAACTAGATCCGACATATCTAGTTCTTCGATCTACGCGGCAGTGAGTCAACACCGACCTGCCGCAACCATGCCATCGAGGACCGAGAAGCCTCGAAGCCAGTCGGCGGCAAGCCGACGTAACGAGAAGAGGCTCGAGCACCGGGCCTCTTCTCTGCCTGGTGGCTCGTCAAGGGTCACCAAAACCAGCCGACCACGAGAGCGTCGGTTCTCCCTCTCGTTGACGTTGCAACACGTTGACGACGAGTGCCACTACGAGGAAGTTGTGGAGAAAAGGGGTGAGATGGCTGTTGACACTAGGGACGGCAGCCAACGCGACGAGGCCAGAGATCTCATTGCAGAGATCATGGTCGCACAGGGCCTTCAGGGAAGGCTATACGAAAAGATGGGCCGAATGGCGCGAAAGGAGCGCTTTCAACAAGTCGTTGTGTAAGTCCCCAAAACCTGCATTATAATTCTGTTTTCGCATTATTTTCTCGAAGAAATTCCCTTCCTTTTTCTAAGAAGATAGAGGTGTTTCTTAGAGTTCTCTCTTGTCTCGGGAAATAACCACCTACCTTTTATCCTCGGCTCCGTGACACAAACCTGAAGATAAAAAGAGACTGACACATTTTAACTCCCTAGGCAGAGCAACGCTTCCAAGGCCATCGAGTGCCAGGTGGCCCAGCTGCAACAGAGGTTGACCATGATCAGCCTGTGTTGCTCTTTCGAAGAGCTTTGTCTAGATTAGACAAGGCTTTTCCTGGTCCGAGAACATGGGAGTCATACATCAGTCACAGAGTGAGTTTCCCTTTTGCGCTCGGGCAAATAATCTCCTGTCAGCCAAGTTCCATCTGACGCCTTCTCGGCCAACCAAAGGGGTATATGTCTAAGACCTACCCAAACTCATAACGATTCCGATGCCACTGGGTCGTTCGCCTCAGGGCCGCAAATACTTCAGAATAATCCTCAACGTACTTCCAGCATTGGTCGACCATGTCTGTATAGATGACGCCTCATCTTTAGGCGGCCGGGCAGCCTCAGACGGCTCTTCCATCAATACCAACCCCGACAACCTCAACGACGCCATATAATCTATGAGCAGGCTTCGCCGTGGTGCATTCACGAAACAATTCACTGAGGTGGCATCTCGGCTATGCTATTCATACGTCATCTATGTAGCCAGTGGTGCTTCTTGGACACGAGATGGGGATAGGGTTTGAAGGAGATGTTGGGTGGACATATTCTGTGGGCGGCCAACAGGAATCAAATAATGGCGCTGGGTTTGGAAGAAAAAGATTTGGAGAGAATCTTTTGTGAGCATGTATGGTGGGTGTTGATTTGATGTTCGAGAGTGGCGCCGATTTCTTTTGGGCGGGTGGTGTGGTTTGGGCTCACCTCTATCATCATCGCTCAAGAATTACCCACCACTCAAAATCTTGTCACGAACAACATCAAAATTTCCGCGCACAAAATGGCTGGCAACGAGGCTCTGGTATGGATTGACTGCGAGGTAAGTTGAGACCGAAAATGCCTCTCATGCCGTCTCATGCCTTGTACTGATCACGGTGGACAGATGACGGGCCTGGACCCTGACCGCGAAGAAATCATTGAGATCTTCTGCATCATCACAACCGGCACACTAGAGGTTGTCGACGAGGCCGGCTTGGGCATAGTGATCCACCAGAGCAAGGAGAGAATGGACCAAATGGACGACTGGTGCACCAAGACACACGGACAGAGCGGTTTGACGGCAGCCGTGATTGCCTCGACAGTCACACCAGAGCAGGCGGCCGACGAGCTGCTGGCCTACATCAAGAAGTATGTGCCTGAAAAGGGCGCAATCCTCGCTGGTAACAGCGTGCACGCCGACCGCGCATTTCTCCGCAAGGAACCTTACAGAAAGGTTGTCCGACACTTGCATCATCGCATCCTCGACGTGAGCACGTTGAAAGAGGCGGCTAGGCGGTGGTGTCCAAAGAAAATCATTCACAACGCGCCGCAGAAGAAGGGGTTGCACCAGGCAAAGGATGATATTTTGGAGAGCATTGAGGAGGCCAGGTACTACAAGGAGACCATTTTCAAGAGGGATTAGACTCTTGCATCACTTGTGATTTGGTGCATTGGAGGCGTCAAATCTTTGTTTGTCATGGTTTTGGGGGATTTGGAACAGTCAAGAGACTTCATTATCTGGGAGCTACGATACTCGACGTCTTGTTTCGCATGTCTTCCACGACTGCCAAACTTTTAGTCAATCAATACCATCGAATCTGGAGGAACATCGTGACATCATGTTGAAATTTTGCTCGCCATTCTTTTGACCTTGAGACTGTCGCAATTGTGCATGTTTCAGGGACCGTCCGGACTGCCCAATCCGTCATTTCTCGTCTACACTATCACTTCCCCTTTTATTGCCCCTGATCTGTCAAGGTTGTTCCATTGAAGTCGCCGTGCACGAACAAGAACCGAGAATTCGCGGAATCTTTCGCCGCTACGGCACGCCACTTGCAAGGCAGCTCACCAAAAAGAGCGCCCAGATCGGCCCAGCTCACCCCCACTTCAGACCAGCCGAACCCCCACCACCTCATCTCAACTATTGTCCTTAGGTTGGGAGCTATGATGTTTCCCAGCTCACCGTTGTTAGACAGCCAAATACTGTACACACCACTACTACATTGACCTACCTTGTACCTAGCTGTTCCAAAAGCTGGTGCTTTAACCGCTCAATTGACTTGACTCTTTTGCAAAAATCTCCTCCTTTCTTTCCTTCTTCTTTTTCTTCATTACACAGCACTGCCCATTACTAAAGACATCATGAGCGTCAAGACTGTCGAATTCGAGTCATTCACTGACCAGAAGCCCGGAACGTAAGTCAACTGGGACTCTCAACTACCCCGCGATCGTCATAACCATCACTGTGCTCCAGAACATGGACCCCCCTCCTTCGACTATTGCACGACAGATTGATTTACGGAGAACTGGTCCTAATAACATTTGCACAGATCCGGTCTTCGCAAGAAGGTCAAGGTTTTCCAGAAGCCCAACTACAGTGAATCTTTCGTCACCAGCATTCTACTCTCCATCCCCGAGGGTGTCGAAGGTATGTTTGCGCTTTGCAAGGGACCCCGCCAATGCCCCTCGCCTACCCTACAGCCATCTCTGTCCCCCCTTCAACGTGAGACTGACCACGGCGCTATAGGCTCGTTCCTCGTCATTGGTGGTGATGGCAGATTCTGGAACCCCGAGGTTGTGCAACTGATTGCAAAGATTGGTGCCGCCTACGGTGTCAAGAAGCTCCTGATCGGCCAGAATGGCATCCTGTCGACCCCCGCCGCCAGCCACATCATCCGGAAACGCAAGGCCACTGGTGGTATCCTCCTGACTGCCAGCCACAACCCTGGTGGTAAGTTTGGTTTCCCAGTCTATCTGGCCATTGTGTGTGCTAACGTCGAGTCGCAAAACAGGTCCCAACGAGGATTTCGGTATCAAGTACAACCTGGCCAACGGTGGTCCCGCTCCCGAGAGCGTCACCAACAAGATCTACGAAGCCTCCAAGACCCTCAAGTCGTACAAGATCGCCGACATCCCCGATGTTGACCTGTCGACCATTGGCTCCAAGACGTACGGCAACCTCGAGGTTGAGATCATCGACAGCACTGCCGACTACACCCAGATGCTGAAGGACATTTTTGACTTCCCCCTCATCAAGAAGTTCTTCACCAACAACCCCGACTTCAAGGTTCTATTCGATGGTCTGTCCGGTGTCACTGGCCCCTACGGCAAGGACATCTTTGAGAAAGAGCTGGGCCTGTCTGGCTCGACCCAGAACTGCGAGCCCTCGCCCGACTTCAACGGCGGACACCCCGACCCCAACCTCGTCTACGCTCACTCACTGGTCGAGAAGGTTGACAAGGAGAACATTCCCTTTGGTGCCGCTTCTGACGGTGATGGTGACCGTAACATGATTTACGGTGCCGGCGCATTCGTCTCGCCCGGTGACAGTCTGGCAATCATTGCCCACCACGCCAAGCTCATCCCCTACTTCCAGAAGCAGGGTGTCTATGGCCTGGCCCGTAGCATGCCCACCTCTGGTGCTGTGGACCTTGTCGCCAAGGCCCAGGGTCTCAACTGCTACGAGGTCCCCACCGGCTGGAAGTTCTTCTGCGCCCTGTTTGATGCCGACAAGCTCAGCATCTGTGGTGAGGAGAGTTTCGGTACCGGCAGCAACCACGTCCGTGAGAAGGACGGCCTGTGGGCTGTTGTTGCTTGGTTGAACATCATCGCCGGTCTTGGTGAGGCCAACCCCGGCACCACGCCCAGCATCAAGCAGATCCAGAAGGACTTCTGGGCCACCTACGGTCGCACTTTCTTCACCCGTTACGACTACGAGAATGTCGACTCTGAGGGAGCCAACAAGGTCGTTGGTGTTCTGAACGACCTGGTCAAGGACCCCAAGTTTGTCGGCAGCAAGATTGGCGACCGCACCGTCGTTGACGCTGGCAACTTTTCCTACACTGACTTGGACGGCTCCGTCTCCGCCAACCAGGGTCTGTACGCCAAGTTCTCCAGCGGCAGCCGCATTGTTGTGCGTCTGTCCGGCACTGGATCTTCTGGAGCCACTATCCGCCTGTACATTGAGCAGTACACGGACGACAAGTCCAAGTACGACCTTGACGCCCAGGACTTCCTCCAGCCCGAGATCAAGTTCGCAACGGACCTGCTCAAGTTCAAGGAGTTTGTCGGCCGCGACGAGCCTGATGTCAAGACATAAGCAAAGAATGCTAATTTTATGAATGATGAGAATAAACACCAAAAAGAAGCCCTGATTAGTTAGATAAATCGATCATTTTTAGTATACCAACTTTTCTCACCCGTTTCAACACTGTTGCATCATGAATGGCTTTGCCGTACCATCAGTGTCCAGGTGATTGCTCAAGGATAATCACATGCGATTACACTGTAAGCAGCCAATGCGGCGCATTATGAGGGGGGTGAAATGCAACACAACTCTGCTTCTCGCTCCCAAATGGTCGGCCAAAGTGAAGACGCGGACAATGTCCAATCCTTTCGAGGCAGACGGATAATGTCATCAGCTGCGACTTGATACTCTGGGCGCTTTGATGGCTAGATGACATCTTATGTATATTCCCGTGGAGGAACCCGACCCACTATGGTCAATTTAGTCTGGCACCATACTTACCTACTACCTAGTAAACATCCATGTGCCTATCTGGTATCAGATGCGTCAGCGAGGTCAGAGCCGCGCTAAACATCGAACCGAGGCAACATTATCCGGGCGACTGACAAGTCATTTATTGTTCACAAATCTACTCCCTGGATAATGTAGACATCTGACAATTGATATCCAATCGCTGCTTGGAGCTTTCAGCCTTGTATCTGACATTGAAGTGTGGGAAGAAACCTACATACTCTCCACGGGACTCTCCAAGTGTATTTATCCATTCTTGGTGCTTTCAAATTCCAGCATATCCGTCATCCCCTTTGGCGCAGTCTCGAGTAGTCCCCTTCATCGTCTCTCAAACATGGCAGCCAAAAGCCTGTTCACAGTCTCTATCCCGCCGCTCAAGGACCATGTCGGCGGCGAGATTGTCTGTACCGAGCCCGCGCCAGAGGTCTACCTCTTGACATTTTCCTCGGCCCCGGATAACCGCCTGACGCCAGCCTTTTGCGCGGCCATGATCAAGGCGCTCGACCTGATTGAGCTGCGCAAGCCCGCGACCACGGGCGTGGTCATCACCACGTCGGCCATTCAAAAGTTTTACTCCAACGGCCTGGACCTGGACCTGGCCATTCGCACGCCGGGCTTCACCGAGGACGCCCTCTACCCGCTCTTTCACCGCTTCCTGACGTTCCCTATGCCCACCGTTGCCCTGGTCAATGGCCACGCCTTTGCCGGCGGCTTCATGCTGGCCATGCACCACGACTACCGCGTCTTTGCCGGCGACCGGGGCTACATGTGCATCAACGAGCTCGAGTTTGGCGCCCCGCTGCTGCCGCCCATGAGTGGCATCTTTCGGACCAAGCTGCGGGCCGACGTCTACCGGACCACGGTCCTCGAGGCCCGCCGCTGGGACGCCCAGGCCGCGCTGGCCGCCGGCATCATTGACCGCGCCGACGGCCTCGAGGGCGCCCTGGCCCTGGTGCGCGACGGCAAGCTGACGACAAAGGGCAAGACGGGCGTCTATGGCCTGCTCAAGGAGGAAATGTACCGCGAGCAGGTGGCGCTGCTCACGGCGACGGGCAAGGACGTGGTCAAGTTTAGCGATGCCATGGATAGGGAGAAGAAGCGGAAAGCTGGGCTCAAGAAGAGGGGGGCCGAGTCCAAGTTGTAAGTGGGAGGGAGTCATAAAACCCCCGCGGTTGCATTTAAATTTGGAGTCAATCAAGTCAAACATGGAAAGCGATAAACCATAGACAGGAAACATGCCATTCATTATCGATTAATCAGGGGTCTGATATTTAGAGAATCCCCCCCAAAAAACCAATATTGGTCATGATAAAGAGCTGCAACGCTGGACAAACCAGGTTAAACTCCAAATGAATGCACATGTATTGTTTGTCATGAAATAAACTGAGCTACCTCTGCTCCTGCTTCATCAAAGGTGGGGAAAAAAAAGTAGTTCAATATGTCGCGAGCTGGCGACGCTTGAAATTATCAGCGAAAGAGAAATTAGTCCAAAAGGGGGGGAGGAAAGAAAAAAGCAAGAGAGATCACAAGTCCTTCAAAGGATGGTCTTTCCGCCACATAAATACCCTTGGCTCGTAGGCCGTTTTTTTATCTCTTTCAAATTCACATCAAGATACTCCCGTCGAGCCCCTCAAGTCGAAAAGAAGTCCGTTTAACCTTGTCCAGCCACTCAAAATCCCGCCGCCCAGCGCCAGGCATCGCGTTGAGAGAGACAAGTTCTCTACTGGGGCGTGGTTGCGTTGATGGGAATTCTGAATCGGAAGTTGCCAAATCGGAAGCAGGCGCCAAAGGCGGACTGGCAGGTTGCGCAGTACAGACCACCGGTGCCGCACCATCCCCAGGCGCTGCAGCACTGGCCCGTCGGGCAGCGTGTCTCGAAGTCGGTGCCGTGGTATTCGACACCGCAGCGGCCGTCGGTGGACAGAGGAGGAACGCCGTCCTAGTAAATCACCTGTCAGTATCACAAGGGTCATACTTGCATAATGGGGTGAGAGGTCAATTTGGAACGTACTGCTGGGACGGTGATGTTAAAGTCAAATGGTGGGTTCACGATGACCGACGTTGTGACGGGAATCAACGTCGAGATCGTGGTCGGTATCGAGATGGATGTGATAGTGAAGCTCGTTTCGAGGCTTGTCGGGAGCTCAGTTGGTGTTGTCAGTGGTGGCAGCTCTGTTGTGATGTCGCTTGTAGGGAGCTCAGTAGTCGAAATCTCGATTGAAGTCTCAATCGATGTGGGGAGCTCAATGGAAGTCTCGATCGATGTTGGGATCTCAATCGAAGTCTCAATTGAAGTCTCAATCGATGTCGGAAGCTCAGTAGTCGAAATCTCAATAGAGGTTTCAATCGAGGTGGGAAGCTCAGTGGTGGAGATCTCAATTGAAGTCTCGATCGAAGTGGGCAGCTCGATTGAAGTCTCAATTGAAGTGGGGACTTCGATAGAGGTCTCGATTGAAGTTGGCAGCTCAGTCTCAATCGAAGTCGGTAGGTCAGTAGTTGAGATCTCAATAGAAGTCTCAATTGAAGTTGGGACCTCGATTGAAGTCTCAATTGAGGTTGGGAGCTCAGTCTCAATCGAAGTCGGCAGGTCAGTGGTTGAGATCTCGATAGAAGTTTCAATTGAAGTCGGGAGCTCAGTCGTTGAAATCTCAATAGAGGTCTCGACTGAAGTCGGGAGCTCGATAGAAGTCTCAATCGATGTGGGAAGCTCGGTAGTCGGGATGTCGGTGGGAAGATCACTAGTCTGGTGGCTGAGGTCCGTGGTAACGTCGGTGCTGATCGGAATCTCCGTCGAGACTGTAATGGTAGGCTCGCCAGTAGGTGTGGCAATAATGGTAATCTCCGTCGAGATGATGCTATCCGTGTCAGTAGGGACCAGGTCGCTTGTTGTATCGAACGTGGGCTCCAGGCTGATGGTGCTGCTATCGATAGTCGTTGGTATATCAGTAATGATATCAGATGTATCGATGGTAGGGACCGGGAGCGAAGTCGGCAGGCTAATGGTTGTCAAGTCTGTCGGCAGCGAGGTGATGTCCTCGGTGCTTGTGGGAAGGTCGGTAGTCTCGAATGACGTTGGTAGAGTTTCCGTCGGTAGAGTCTCTGTAGGCAGCGTGATGACAGTGTCCGTTGGCAGTTCTGTTGTCTCGATCGGGAGCTCAGTAGAGGTCTCCAGAGACGTCGGGAGGGTGATCGTATCCGTCGGCAGGTCCGTCGTGTCCGTGGGAAGCTCGGTAGTATCCAGCGATGTGGGCAGAGTCTCAGTAGGCAGCGTGATGACAGTGTCCGTAGGCAATTCTGTGGTCAGATCTGTAGAGGTGTCGGTGGGAAGCTCCGAAGTCTCAATGGAAGTTGGCAGAGTTTCAGTAGGGAGCTCAACGCTAGTCTCAGTGGGCAAGTCAGTGATAACAGGCAGGTCGGTCGAGATCTCTGTAGATGTCGGGACTTCCGTTGGAATCTCAGTGATGGTCGGGATGTCGGTGGTAATCTCAACCGTGGTGCTCAGATCCGTGGAAAGAATGGTCGTGGGGACATCCGTGGGAACCTCGATTGAGGTAATCACGTCCGTGGAGACTTCAATAGTCGTTGGCAGGAGCGTGGAGATATCAATGTCCGAGGTCAACGATGACAACAATGAAGTAATATCAATCGAACTCGTGAGATCCGTCAAAGTTTCAATAGGAAGATCGGTAGACAGATCAGTGGACGTGGGCAACTCAGTCGTCTCAGTCGGCAGATCGGTAATCTCGGAAGTTGGCAGCTCTGTCGTCTCGATAGGCAGGTCAGTGGAGATTTCAGTAGAGGTTGGCACTTCAATAGAAGTCTCAATCGTCGTGGGCAAATCTGTAGAGATATCCGTCAAAGTTGGCAGCGTTAAAGTGGGCAACGTCAAAGTTGGCAATGTCAAAGTTGGCAATTCAATGGAAGTCTCGATAGTTGTAGGGAGATCTGTCGAGGTCTCGATTGTCAAGGAGATATCAGAGGTGATATCGGTGACCGTTGGTAGATCAGTCGTGATATCAGTGATCGTGGGCAGATCAGTCGTGACATCGACGGTGGTCGGCAACACGGACGTAACATCGATCGATGTGGGAATTTCAGTTGTGATCTCAACTGTCGTGGACTCATCCGTAGAAAGAATTGTCGTAGGCAGGTCAGTTGAAACCTCTACTGCAGTGGTGATGTCCGACGACACCTCAAGAGTTGTGGGAATAGAGGTAGGCACTTCAATGGAGGTTGGGACCTCGGTCGTAACATCAGTCGACACGGGCAAGTCTGTTGTAATCTCAGTAGACGTGGGCAGGTCTGTTGTCACCTCGAGAGACGTGGCAATATCTGAAGAAGTGTCAAGTGTTGTAGGCAACTCAATCGACGTGGTGATTGGCACTTCTGTAGAAATTGTTGTCGTGACGGGCAGATCAGTGGATACCTCGACTGATGTGGGCAGGTCAGTGGAAACTCCTGAGATTGTCGTGGGCAGAACTGTAGGGATTTCCGTCGACGTGGGCAGCAGGTCGGTTGAAACAGTCACGCTGGGGCTCAGCGAGACTGATGGAGATACAGAAATCGGGATCGAGATATCCGTGGAGATGGGAGACGATACTGAGGTCGTTGGTACTGAAATCGGCAATGATGTTCCCAACAACGTCGAGGAGGAAGAAAGAGAAGTTGATGGCAGAACTACCGACGACGAGCTCGATCCTGGACAAGCCCCATTGACGTTCTGGTAGAGGGTGAACTGAATGTCATCGAACCAGGTAGCACCAACAAAGCCGGCCGCAGCTGGGTCTCCACCGGAGGATAGAGTTGGTGAGTAGCCAGTGCCGAATCGGATCTTGTCCAAATTCTTGAAATCGTCAGTCAGTGTAGCAACGATCATGTTTCCCGTAGTCGAGCGCATGTTTGGGAGGTAGCTGAACTGCTGAGCGGCCACTCGGTTGCCATTCCTATAGCCGAGAACGGCTACGATGCAGCGCGAGACACCAAAGGGAATCGTCTGGAATCCAAATGCACAGCCAAACTTGAAGGATGTCAAGTCAAACGAGTCGTACTTTGAACCAATGTAGTTGACCTTGACAATTGGTGTGGATTGGTCGCCATAGTAGAGCGCAGATTGGTTACCCGAGGCCGGGTTGATGCCGTAAGGCAGCTTGCCAGTCTTGTCATGGGGATCTTCGACGTCTATATTCCTGATGTTAGTATCTTGTACCTATACTGGCGGACATTATAGGCTCTCACAGAAATCCTGGAACTTTACTCCATTGTAAGTACCAATAGGTGTTCCCGCAGCACGAGGTCCTCCAGTGGTGAGGTCGTCAAAGTTATCCAGTACGCTGACGGGACAGAGGGTGGCGCTGGTGAGCGCTGCTCCGGAGAGCAGCAGCGGCAGAACGGAGTTGAGCATCTCGGGAGCTCAGCTATTACTTCTCAGATGGAATTGAAGAAACGAGTGGAACGAGGATGATGCACAACCTCTCTTGAAGCAATACTAAGCTCTGAGGCCTGTAGATTCCACCATGAACCCAGAAGGCGGCGCGCTGTTTATATATTCGCGGTGCCCTCAAGGCCGTGAAAACTGAGTGGCGGCGGCATCTTTCGAGGCGTTCCATGGACCATACAGCTCAGTGAACCGTCTCCGTGATCATGCTGCGCTCGCTCCAAGCGTGGACGCACGCGATTCCACCTGAGACATTATAGAGTCTGCCGCTGCTGAAGGGGCTCGAGGGGCGCCTCCCCAAAGCTTCTCGTGCTGGGAATCACAACGGAAGATCTCCGTGCATCGTGGTTGGAATTGCCATTCCGGGTCAGCTCAGAAGCATTGATGCCGATGTTCTTGGTATCATGGAATATCTCATTCATGCACATGTTTGTTTCATTATCACTTGATTTATTGTTGTCATTCTATGAGTAGTCCGATTCATCTTTTCGCCTGGCCAGTGCAGATCCGAAGAGCGTGGAGTTGAAAGGGTCTTGCGAAGATCATGATCAAAACAAGCCTAGTCTGTAGTATGACTCTCTATTCTTTTTCAAAGACACACAAACCGTTGTGATCAAAATGAGCGACAGAAGCAAATTCTACGAGCTGACCCGAGCCGCAGGTTTCAATTAGCTAGGAGAGTGAACTCAAAAGTGCAGTCATCCCATTGGCCATTGGAGGCGGCAGCAATAGCCTGTCTCTATAAAAGCAAATTTACCCTATAGTATTACTAAGTTGGTAGCCAAAGCACCCCACAAGTTGTCAATTTTGAGTTTCAGCTGATGTCAAAATATTGAGGGACTTTGCAGCAGAGCACGTGGTTTTGGTGATGAACCAGGAAACCACCACGGCTCGGCTCACTGGGAAAGGTTCACTGACTGAGTCCCGCCTCCGCCACTGTCGCCCGAGGCTTGAACGAAATAGGCTTCTTGGGGGAGCTTGTTGACCCATCGAGCCGAGTCGCGGTGAGGCCCGCAAGTGGACAGGGCAAGTGGACAGGATCCCAAGTCCAGACCTCAGTCTTGACCATTATCGTCGCATTCCCTTCAAGAATCAAATGAGCTAGATTCACTATGCGAAAACGTTATCCAAAAACAATCCCATAGGGCCCAACCTTGATTGTTTAGCCATGCTGGGATCAGCCTTGCCAGAACTCTGAATTATTTTGGTTATGTTTGGTACCGATGCAAATCACTTAAGTTGCAGAAAAGAAAAACCATTAGTGCCTCGATCTGCAAACCTGTGGAAGTGGCATCGAGTCAGGTGAGAACATAATATTCTTTAGGAAACTATTAGTTGAATGAATCAATGGCTCCAAAGTACAAGCATTTGTTTAGTTAAAAAAAAAAGAAGAAAAAAAAAGTAGACAGTCACTGGGGCTTGGGTTTGATCACGTGAGGTTCGTACGTTCCACATTCCTTCCAAAGGTTGAACATGCTTTCTTTTCTTTCTGTGACGCATTTCCTTCATACTGGACTCATTTAGTCGTTCTGCTAACTTATTTATGTATCGTAAAATACTACCAAGAAGTGCATGAAGTGTCCTTTCTACGGGCAAGTCTCTGCCAAAGGATGCCAGAATGCTCAATCAATTGATGGAGCAAGAGGAAATGCTCATGATGGACCTCATCCCTGACCAAGGTCGCGTGTCCCGTGCATGGTACCTTGCATTAATTTGTTAAGCAAGGAGCACAAGTCAAAATGCAGCGCTCACGATGAGACGGAAGGATACGAGTCTTGCCGTGCTGTGGCTGAAAATGTCAATGGGAGCCGTGCTTCTCGACTGTGTGGCGATCAAGATATGCGCAAATCGAGGACCGCAAGACTTGACTGCCTTGTGGGATTTTGTGCGAATCAGATGTCGTCGCTTGTGTATCCCAAATCGAATCAGACATCAGCCCACAATAACCATATAGAATTCCTGACTCTATGTTCTGTTCCCCAGCCATTTACAGCGATGAATTTGGAACCTTTGGTCCAATCTCAACACTCGGACACATTTGTGGAACATGGGAAACGAAAAAAGAAATAAAGAAATACAGGAAGAAGGATGGAAAGAGAAGTATAGCGCGCTGACCAAAGAGAGAAAAAAACCTGATGGTCTTACACCACGACGTGTCTTAGAAGCATAGACCAGATGAATAACGGGATGGCATCTTGGAGCAAAAAGGAAGTTCCGCAAACCCGCTTTTGATTCCGCGCCCTGCATGAGGCGTCAAGGTTTGGAATGAAACTAGACGTGTCAACTGAAGGTCGGGTCCTTCATTACGCTACAGAGTGCGTAAACTTCCCAGGCTGATGAGGCATGTCAGAAATTCCATACCCACGTGTGCAATTGAATGGATATATCTTCATGGATTTGCGTCACTGTAGCCTCGAGCCGATCCGGATAAGATGCCGTTTGAGAGGATCGCGATTCGTGCTAGACTTGGCAGCGATCGACGTGTTTAAATGTCCTGCTTATTTGCTCACAGATGTGACAGTACGCTATAAAATCCCATTCACTCTATAAGGTTGGTGAGCTCTAGCATGAGCAATGGATCGCACAGGTATGGCGACTACTGCAACATCACAGAAAAACCACCGAACTTTCATGGCCAGAACCTCCATCCGCTCTCATCTGACATAAGTCTGGTACTCACTCCTTTTCTTCAGCTTCAGCCTCCTTCTTGGCTTTCTGTTCCGCAGTCGTTTGTTTTTCCCACATGGCAAAGTAAGCACCCTGCTTCTTCAAGAGCTCCGAGTGGGTACCCCGCTCCACGACTTTGCCTTTAGAGAGCACTACGATCTGATCCGAGTTGGTGATGGTCGAGAGGCGATGCCTGATGCCAAAATATCAGTGAGCAGTTCTTCTTGTATTTCAATATGGGAAGGCTTACGCTATTGTGATGGTGGTTCGGCCGGACGTCACTCTCTCCAAAGCATCCTGGATCTGGCGTTCTGTATGAGTATCGAGGGACGCAGTGGCCTCATCCAACAGAAGAATCGGGGCATCCTTCAGAATGGCCCTGGCGATGGCAATCTGATGAGGTGTCAGTCATGAAACCAGAATCCGGGTCAGCGCCATCACGGCGCTCCACTTACTCTTTGACGTTCACCACCAGAGAGCTTCAAGCCTCTTTCACCCACTTTGGTTTCGTATCCATCGGGGAATGCCAGAATACGATCGTGGATATTGGCTGCTCGTGCAGCATTGAAGACTTGCTCCTCAGATGCTGATGGATTGGCGTAGAGCAGGTTGAACATGATGCTAGCGTTGAATAGCACCGTATCCTGAGGCACGACGCCGATGTACTTTCGGAAGCTATCAAGCTTGAGATCCCGAATGTCATGGCCATCAACTGTAACCGATCCACCAGCGACATCATAGAATCGGAACAGAAGTTTCAAGCACGTCGACTTGCCAGAACCAGACTCGCCCACAATGGCGGTCTTGGTGCCGGGCTGCACGGTAAAACTGACCCCATCAATGGCTGGCTCCTTGCCCTGGTAAGAGAAGCGAACATCATTAAACTTGACTTCGCCTTTCGGGTCTTTGAGAGCTACCGCATCTGGCTTTTCGACGATGCCAGACGTCTCCTTGAACTGCAGAATGTCAGTCGAAAATTGTTTTCCAAGGTGCGATAGCAAACATACCAGATCGAGCATCCGCTCAGACTCTATTAGCGTATTCTGCAACATGGTATAGTAAGTGCCGAAAAAGTTCAGTGGAGCCTGCAATTGTGCAAAGTATGCCATCAGCTCAACGAAGCCCGGCACAGTCTCCTGTCCAGTAGAAATCTTGTAGGCCGAAAGAACAACAATGAGGGCCGTGCCAAGCGTGAAAATAGAGCTCTGAGTCAGGTTCAGGGCATTGAGCGAGTAGTACACAATTCGCTCAGCCCTTTGGTATATCGTTACTTGTTCCTTGAAACGCCCCGTTTCTGACTTGACGGCGCAATTGTGCTGTACCGTTTCATAAGCCATGATGGCATCAGTTCTGTGAAGCATTAGCGGTGATTGGTGGTTGATTTATCAAAAGTATTTGGCCATACCTTGCAGCATCCATTTCTCGACTCTTGGTAGTCATGTCTCTCCTCTGCCTGGCGCGGAATTTGGCCATGTAAATAGTCAAAAAGACATATGACCACATGATGGTGAGAACGATCAGAGTGTAGAATGCATTGTACTTGAAGAAAAAGTACACGGCCGCAATGAGAATATCGAAGATCATTGGAAAGACTTGGAAAAGGAAGCTCTCCAAAAAGGTATTCATCGCACTGCCACGGCTGAGCGCGCTGGTCACCTCACCAATTTTCTTGCTCAGATGAAAGTCCATGGACAATCCAAGAACATGCTCAAAGGCGGCACAGGCAAGTCGACGGTATAGATTCTGAGAAACTGGTATCCATAAGACAGCACGTGCAGCACCAATGGCACCTTGACCACCCTGCAAACCGCGGAAAATCACGTACAGTGCAATGTCCTTGTAAGGCATGCGACCATATCCAAGCTCTGAGACGAGGACTCCCATCTGACGGGGGACCAAGAGGTTTATAACGCGCTGAGCGATCAGCAAGATGATACATAGAACCACAACGGCTTGGTGCAGACGCGAGTCCTTGGGCCTTTTAAAGATGATTAACATGAGACTATTCCGAGCATATCCGGGAACGCTGGCTTACCAGAGGTAGGGGAACAGAACACGGAAGCCGGAGATGTAATCGAGCCATCCACTCTTCTGTGCATCAGGTTTCTTTGGCGGGGCTTTGGCTCCGTTTGCAGGTGTGCTGCCGTAGCCATTGGCAGGCTCTCCATTCTCGAGAAGCGATTCGTGCTCAGATGACGAGCCGGCATGCTTCGGTTTCTTCAATGCCCATTGGCGTCGAGCCAATACAGCAACCATGAACAGCAGCAGCACAAGTCGCGCAAGACTCAATGAAAAGAGGTTATCCAGAAGCCTCGAGCTGACATGAATCCGTTCTTGCTGTGAGAACAGAACAGCAGCAATGACGGCCTCGAGGATAATGCCAGCCGCCCAAGCGATGGCATGAGCAACGGTTGGCGTCCAAGGGCCATCTGGATCTGGCAACAGGCCACCAAGAAAGTAGAGCAGTACACCAAGATAGGAAGCAATGTAGGCAGTGTACGGAAAGTTGACTGGTGGGTAAGCCTGCTCCTCGGCAATTGCCTGGGCAGTGACAAGCACTACGCTGACTAGCTGTTGCGGCAATGTTAATTTTTGGAAGCCTTGTATTGAGGGAACATTAAGACAGGGATATTATACATACCAATAGCGGCAACAGTAATGCCTGCGCAACGCGAATGATTCTGTTGTGTACTCGATTCACCTGCTCGGCGCGTTTCTCATCCACGTCCGGGGAGCTTCGGGCATTGTAGCGCTGATGGCGTGCGAGCTGCGACAGAGCCAAAGTCACGAAAAGACCGCAGGGGTAGAGGTAGAAGGCGACCTCCAGCCCGACTTGGACGCCACTCATACTTCCGAAAAGGCGACGTTGTGTCGGCACTCAATGGTTGATGATACAAAAAGGGTTAAATTTCAAAAAATCCTTTGATGTCATGGTTGAAGATGGTACCTGGCAGGCGGCTAAGGCTTATGGGTCCCCTACCCGTGCACCTTAGCGTTGGTCGTGGGGCCGAAGCCCGGGTGTTCTAAACGGAGAGTTCTATTTCCCTTGCCCCGCCAAGATGCATCTTACTCTTACTAATGTAGTATCTTATCCTTGCATCCAATGCACATAGGAGAACAAGTTTCGTTGAATGTATCATGCTGCTTTGCGGAAACAATCAATACCAAATTCGCAGGAATGAAAGTATTCAATTCTTCGCAGAGATGAATTAAGATATCAGCCGCGGGCGAGTGTTTGATTTTATGGAATTAATACACTCGATTTGACAAAGTTATGCGTTTGTGGTTTCTCCCTTGATCTTCTTTTTTTTTTTTTTTTTTTTTTTTTTTTCCCCTTTTTTGAACAAACGATTGCCAACGCCAACATCATTCATTGAGTTCAATACACTCTGATACCGCTTAGCCATACCCCAACTACTTGATAGATCTGCCGTCTGGTGGTCCATGTCTTGGTTGTCCATATCGCTTCCACCGTCATCATATAGGTCACTAAAATCGGTCCAGTCGCCGTTGGAGTTGTTACTGTTGCTGTCTTTAAAATATATTCGAGATACCCCATTCCCAAATGCGTTTGCCCTTCATCTCAGCAAGACGTTGGGAATACATCTGGTAAGGGTTCCCACTTGGTTGGCCAGGAACTCATGCAGGATGCGTACTCTTTGTTCCCAGCGAGGCTTCGGAACGGCGAAGAGCTTATCCGTTGGCCTTCAATAGTAGAGGGAATAGGGCAAAGCGGTAGAAGGGAGACACAATTCAGTAAAAACGCTTTTCGAGAGGAATACAAATCGTGCTGGATTCCATACATTTGTCCATTAGACATATTAAGTTCTGTATCTCTCGCAAACTTTCTAAGAATCAACGGTATTCGACTGGTTTGTTTTTCGTTTTTTTATCTGAGGACTTGCAAATCTATATTACGAGCCATCCTCTCCATCTCTGTCTAGGTGGATGTAAGAGTTACACCCTGAATATCCCCGGGGTAGGAAGCGCTGCTCATGATGGCCTACGGTGTCTGCGATGGCCAAAGATTTCATAACTCCAACTTCATAGATTATAGCACCCACACTGAGCTATCCATGACAAGTTGTTTGAGCAATATCAGTTCATTACCGAAAAGAGAGCATTCCCCTCCAATTATAAGGCATAATATTCATACCCATATTGCATTTACATATCGCAATTATATCGAGTATGCACGGCTTATACACAAGTCTGATTGGCCCATTCATGTCCTTGCGGCTAACAGCCAAAGACCGGCCCCACTCTTTTTTCGTCAAGCTACGTCCTGCATTAGACCGACCCCAAGAAAAATATCGTGGAAGCTCTTTTGGGGAGCGCGGCTTTGCAAGCAGTAGAACAGCGACATCGCCAACAATTGTGCCCACGCCTCTCCATTTGCGAATCTTGCCACGGACTCCCCCGAGGACGCAAGAAACCGAAAAGAAGACATGGCGACGCCAAGACTCGGCCGGGCGCTCACAACGTGTCCAAACTGCCTGGGACGCCTGCCCCTCGCCCGACCGACGGCCACGCAGGTACTGCCCTCGCCGCTGCAGCAACTGACCCAGGTCCGGCACGCGAGAACCCTCACCAAGGCCGAATTGGAGGATCTTCAGGGTATTCCTGTGCGGCTGCTCAAGAACATTGCCGGGTTCGGCAAGCAACGTATGTTTCCTGACCGTGGCCTTGTCTCTATCTCTCTTTGCCTCTCTGCGCCTGCTCCGACTCTACCTGCCGAAATCATTACAGAGAGCCTGGCTGATTGCTGACCTTTTCTACTTGAAATCTAGATTCCATTATCCGAGTCAAGCCCGGCCGTATGCGAAACCAATGGCACCACAAGGGTCTCGCCGAGTACATGACCAAGAAGCGGTTCACAGAGCTGGGACTCACAGAGGCCGCCATTGGTGTGCGCGACCGCACGTTTGGCACCAAGTTGCTCGACGAGGAGGACGGCGATAGCCAGAAGATTGTCACCAACGAACCAGTCAAGACCAAGAAGAAGGAGACCATTGTTATGACGGTATGTGACAGCAGTCTATCAAATTCCTATGGAATGGATTGGGATTGGCGAGTTAGGATATAGAGAACCAAACAAGGATCACGAGCATTGCTAACTTCGCCATTTTATACATACAGGCCGATGAATCCCGCGCCCTTTTACAAGATCTCCTCCCCAAGGTCCTAGTCTTTGCTAGGAAACCAATCGCCGCACCCGAGCCGGCCAAGGACCCTGAACCCGTGGTCTCGCGCAATTTTGCCCTTGCCGCCAACGCGCAGGTATCGACGCAAACCGCGGCGGAAGCAGCAGCAGTACCCGAGCAGCCACAGCAAGACACCAAGGCCATCTTTGGTTCGGTGGCCCCCACCGATGTCGTGGCGCGCATCCGCGAGGCCCTCCTGGCCGACAGCAATGGTAGTCGCGTGTCGTTCGAGGCCGAGGCCGTCTCGATTCTGGGGCTTGAGGCCGGCGAAGACCGTATCAAGCGGCTGGGCGTGTACGAGGTCGAGATTGTGACGGGCAAGGGTCTGGAGCCCGTCAGGAGGACGGTCGAGGTTGTTCCCGAAACCGACTAAACGGTAAGGCTGAAGCCACGACCGCCGACCGAACTTCACCAGCTCATAATGATGCAATGGCTCGGTGAGTTTTGATAGGCCTGGGCGACAGAATAGAAAGAGTAAAGAATGATGTGGGCTGTACTATATGTTGTTAGAAATGTACCAAGAAATGTACAACACGTGTTACCATGGACAATATACTCAATGGCAAACAAAACATGGCTGACAAGTGCACATTATTTGTTGCGCGGTTGCTTCAAATTTTCAGGAGTGTGCGCTCGATACTACATTCCATATCCATGAGCCCATTATCATTCTATAAAGGTAGACAGTACTAAGCTACGCGTGTGGGTATAGCCTTATTCCACCCCAAACCAAAATACCTGAGCAATCTGAATACACGACCACAATCACAGATGGTAAGGAAACTATCTAACCCAAATGCCTGCCAACGCCAAACACCAAATCAAACCCTGCTAAATAACCACACGTAAATCAGGCACTGATCTCGGAGGAACGACTTTGAGAGGGAGCCAATGTTACTTTCCGGGATAGCTAACGTCGAGACTCCAAAGAGAATCCCAGACCACGCTCTTATCACGGCTGTCGGCACTGGTATTGCTTGTGTCTCTTTGCAGCTGTTGGTGACCGTTGCCTCCTTCTGAATTCTGACCTGCACCTTGATGAAGCCGTTGTTTGGAAGGGCTACCACGGTATAGGCTGGCGGGCTTGGATTTGGCTGGTGATGTGGAAGTTGGCTGGGACCGTGGAGGCGGTGGCGGCATCCGTTGCCAGTCCTATCCAAATCAGCTTCATTCAGCTTTGGATCATCACACTCAGGGACCGAAAAGAGAATCCACCACTTCTTGGTCGCGTACCTCATCGCCCTCGGCATGTCCACCGCTGGCTTTGGCGGATCCAGAACCTGAAGAGTGTTCCACTGCCTTTCCTTTGCCCATCGCCCCAACGCTACCGGCCAGATCGGGGCTGTCTGACGGACCAGCACGCAGACTATTCGTCTCAGAAGCCAATGCACTACTCTTGGCAGCGCCGGCGCCAGCGCCGCCAGCAAAAGGCAGAGCTTTTCTATTGACACTGCCTGAACTTGACCGACGGCTTTCAAGACTTTTGCTGAGCGTACGACTAACGCCTTCAATGCCCGTTGCTTTGCCACCAGGAAGCAACCTGCTCGCACCGGTTCTTGCTTGGTGTGTGTGTATATCGGCCACAGCCTCTACGGTATTGGCGGCCACGGTGCTTTTGCCCAAACCCGGTGTTGATGGCGCTCCGGCTTTGTCCTCGGCAGCATCAACAAGCCACCATCTGAGCCCATCAGAGAGATCGAATGGGTTGTCAAATTCAGTCTCCCCGCTACCGTTGCTGGTATTTACGGAATCGGTCTCGCCAGCATGGGCAGCAGTTGATGAACTCAAGCTCTTGGACAGGTCCACAACGCGCTCCTGCACCCGCGTAATGCGAGCTACGAGCCATTCACGCTGCCTCAGGCGGTGAGACTCCTGCTCACGCAAGAAGAAGTGAGGACAGCCAACATTGAAAGCTGCCCAAGCCCCAGTGGTTTGATTTCTAGTCGGCAGGAACAGCGCCAGGTCGCCTTCCTTGAAATGCCTGAAAGCAATCTTGTCATGGGCATCCTTAACGGCTTGATGTGCTCGTTCACGATAATTGCGTGCATCCTTGGTATATTTGCGAGCCGTATGCTCTAACTCTTTGACCCGCCGGTAGATTGCCTCGGCAAAAGCATCAATGTCGAAGGAACCAGGGCCAGACACGAATCCCTGGTACTGAGACGTTTCCAATTCGGCATCCTCAGCGTTCATCCAGTACAACAATTTCAAGTCAGTGCTGTCGGCGAGTGTGGCACCCATTGACACCGAACGTCGCACAGAACTACTTGGATCTGACGAGTCATTTGCATCCTTGGATGTTCGTTCGGCACGAGGGATCTTCTGTATAGTCATCTTGCCGTCTTGCCGGTTGACTGAGAAGGAAAGCCTCTCAAGAAGCCGGAGTAGTCGCTCATTGTAAGTGAACAAGCGTTGAGTCAGATCCTTGGTGCGCTCGTTGCGTCCTTCAAAACGTTGACTCAAGCCCATGGCGCGCAAATCCAAGGAATCGAGCTTCTCACGGTACATGCGAACCTCCTCCTCCAGGCTGCCAGTATGGGACTGTCTGGCAGCGAGTGTCTCCATGAGCTCGGCGACTTTCTTTTCTTTCTCCTCAAGCTTCTTTCTCAGCGTTTCCGAGCCTGACTCGCCCTCCGTCATCTTCATACGGAGCTCACTGAGCTGATCGCGCGCTTCTGTTATCTCATTTTCAAGAGTCCGACTCTTGGCCTTTTCTTCCTCGAAGACCTCATTTAGCTTGATTCGGGCAGCTTCCTCGGATGACAGCTTTTCTTGTGTCATTGCAACTTCAGTCTTGCTTTCCTTGATCGTTTCTTGAGCGATCTCTAGATCAGACTTCAGTAAAGTCATATCCTCCTCAAGCGTCATGACCTTGGACAGAACATCACTGGATTTCGTGGCGACAGCCTCCATGAGGTCACTGATGTCCTCGGGGATCTTTTCCCGTGGTGATATTTGACCATGGATGTCCCTTAGAGTTTGGATGTGAGTCTCAGCACTGGCCTCGGATGCTTCGGCTCTTCTACTAAGCGTCTTAACAGCCTCATTTGCCTCTTGCAACTGCTTTTCCAAGGACTCATTTCGTTCTCGCTGCATTCTTGCTTCGTTGCGCAAAAACTCGACCTGGCCTTGCGTTTTGAGAGTCTCGTCATGCTTCTCTTGGTTAAGACGCTCGACTTCATCCTCGAGGGATCGCATTCTATCTATGAATGCTCCCTTTTCGTCTTCCCTAGACTGCCCGAAATGCTCAATCTCGTCTTCGGTCTCTTCCAGGCGAGCCTTCAAGGTCTTGATCTCATTCTCCAGGGTCTTTCGCTCCCTGTCGTGCTCCTTTTGCAGAGCATCCATGTTCTCCAGGAGATCCTTCTTGATGGAATTGACTTCATCCATTCGACCCTCCATGTCCTTGGTACGGGCAGCGGTTTCTTTGCCGAAAACCGCGGATCTCTCTTTTTCAGTGACAAGATCTCCCTCAAGCTGGGTAATACGCCTGAGCAGGGCTTCACTGTTGTCAGACACATTGGAATATCGTCGATCATCGGGGATGGCTGGAGATTTGATCGAAGACACGGAGCTGTTGCGATCGTGGCTCCCAGGCTGGAAAAGGTTGCCGATCGAAGGTCTGGATTCGGTGCTCTGGCGATGCAAGAGTCCTTCAAGGCGTCGGACCCGGCTCTCTGCTGTCTTGAGCTTGCCCTCCAACATGGCCTTATCGGCTTGAAGGCCACGCAACAGGTCGTCATCACCACGGACAAGAAGTCCGCTTCTACCAAGAGCTGCTTCATGGACACTGCCGTTCTTGAAAGCCTTCACCCTTTTCATCTGCTGCTTGGTTGGTGAATTGAGCTCATTGATAAGTTTTTGAATGTCCTCGATTACTGTTGTATCAGCCCTATGATGTTGTACCACGGCTAGGAAGTCGTCCAGGTCCTTTTTGTTTACCGCTGGCCACGCCTCCTCTTGGCCAAGGACATTGACCTCGAGGCCAAGCACATTGCTCTCTGTCTTGTCGGGACCGTAAGTACTGCCCACCATTTTCTGCCATTTGCGACGCCGTTTGAGCTCCTCGTCTTGGAATAAAGCCATTTCGTTGACCAGAGTTGAGGAATCTGTTTTGACCTTGTCTGACCATTCTCTCCGACGCATTGATTCAGCCATGAAGGATGCGTACATGAATGGCAACTGTTGTATGAGTCGTAAATAGTCGAAAGTGGTCATTTCCTCTTCACCCTGGTTCAAGACACCCATCATCGTCTTGAGGTTGTGAAGAAAACTCGTTATTTCAGCGATCGTACGCATCAACACAAGGGACTCGGCAGATAAATCGTTTCTCGCTCGGGTTGCGTCTCTGAGCAGCTCGTCCATCTCCCGAGCTCTATTCTGAACACTTGGCAACAGACGTTCGGTGTGGTTTGCGGCCGTCTTCGATGCTTGCAGGACGTCCCTAGTCGAGCTCGAGTAGGCTAATGTTGCCTGATAATCCGTATCTATCTTCTTGGCCACGGCTTCAATGTCCTCGAGTAGTTGTGCTGCATCATCACCATGGGTCAATATTGAGCGAGACATGACCTTGTCGATTTCCTGGAACAAATCGTCGCAGCCGCCAAACATTTTGTCTGCCATATTATCCAGCTCAGCGACCTTGTTGTTGAATTTCCGCAGAGACGATGCTGCAAGCTTCCCAGCTTTACGAGCAGTGTCCAGGTCGATCAGATCTTCGAGTGTGGCCTGCCGGGACTTGCGCAGGTCTCGTCCAGTCATAAATCGCACCATGGTTGCTGAAATCGTGATGCCCCGCGCAAGATCCATATATTGCTCCCAATTTGTTGCAAGGGTGCCGTACTCTTCCTGTGCTGGGGCGACCCATTTCTTCAATTCGTTAAATTTAGGTTCCTGTGGTCGGACTGCCGAGTCCAGGTTAGCCACGGCTGCATCGAGACATTTGGTCATGACCTTCATTTCCTCGTGACGGGCCTGGAAAGCTTCGGTCATGGCCGCACAGTCCTCTATTATTTTGAAGGCCCAGTCCCGGCGGCTCTTGAACAGGTCCTGCCATGACTGGAGCGAATGGGTGTTCTCGATGTAATCGGGCGCATTCGTGACAGTGTACTGCTTCGGAATGGGCTCCTCGGAAGCAAGGTGTGCTGGTGTGCCGGTAGGCGAGGCTTGCGTTATCCGGACGTCGTAGATGTATATTTCCTTTTCGAAGTGTATCGTCTGAATCTTGACAGTCTTGCCTTGCGGCGTGAGGGCAATGATGTTTTGCGGCGAGATGGAGCTCGGCCGAGCGACCCAGGCTTTGAACTCATCCAAACTACACGAAACACGCTCCGTTAGCAACAGACGACAAGTGCAAACAAAAGCAAAGGGTCTTGGACTAGGAGCCGCGAGACATACGTTGCGAACTGCGAGATGTCAACCTGCAGGCGCTGGCCCGTATGGGCTATCAACACCTGCGTCGGCGTCGCCATAGCGCATGCATTCTCTCTCGCGCCAGGAGAGTTGCAGAGTTTGGTCACGGATGTTGCGAAACGTATGTGTCGGGCAGTAACAATGCGACGGTGTTTTGAGGATATGTGGCTCAAGGTTGTAGAGGTGCGATATCACAACCTTTGAACAAAGACCGGTCGAGGTTTGTTTTGCTGGGTAATCACAAGGGTCATTCGTCAGATATCCCAGATGACCGCCTAGGTTAGGGTAGGCAGAGCAGTGAGCTACTAGGTTGTAGCACGCGCCGCCCACCATGCGCCAGGGTCTCTCCAAGCGGCCTACCGTACCTGGGCTGCGATAAGTACTCGAGTCTCGACAATCAGAAACACCGATAAGCGTAGATTGAGATGTCGGCCAATTGGCGGACGAAATTCCGCAGTGATGATTTGCGGCTTCACTTCTCTGGAAGCTGAGATGCAAATATTGGCAAGTTTGGCAAAATCTTGTCAAAAATCAAGACCAGCATGACATATGCTTGACTTCAAGATTCAATCCCTTGTCAGGCCAAAGGTTATGCAATATTGCGGCTCGCCGAAACTTTCCCATCATCCGAATCGCAGCGTCTTCCGTTAGCATTCGTTTGCCGCCAAATTCAATACAACTCCGGACACTGCCAGTTGGTGCGCCACATGAGAAACGCCACACTTTTGCAATTGCATACACACAGGTACGCGTACGCGACGCTGCGACGAACATATGGTGAATACTGCGGCTATACAATTTCTAAACCGACCTCTTATATTGCACCAGAAATGGATATCCCAGCAAGGACGGAGAACTCACTGCCACTATCTGAAGATGAGAAGAGGGTGCTGGAACTCTACGACCGACTGCAACAATTGCAGCTCGAGATCGCCCTCATAACAGCACAAAAGAACTACACTCCGTGTGAGCAAGACGTCGCCTTGTATCACTTCCTGGCCTAACACTTCTTTCCCAGCTACATCGCGCGCGCAGACTGTAGAGGATGCCCAAAACGATCTGTTAGAATCTAGAGCACGATACGTCCTGCGGAATCAAGTCACGGAAAGCGTGGTCATGGCAAATCCCGTATTACAAGCTGTGCATGGCGGAACAAATGCATCACCCATTGAAAAGTACGTCAAACATTTCGATAATCAACTGCATGTTTTATTTGGAGAGGGGGCTCATAGCTTGAGACAGAGATCTACTGGGCGTCCTGGCCAAGCGAGACAGCGCTTCGATAGCGCTGGCTGATCAGACAACCTCGACCAAGCAGATCAACGAGGAAATCATGGATGTCCGCAGTCGGACATTGCAGCTGAGCCGGCAGAACGTCGACTTGGCCTCGCAGGTTCTCAGTCTCGCCGGCGAGGCAGAAGAGCGCAAGGCCGCGGCCGTTGAGGACACGGAACAGGCCGAGGAGATTGCGCAACTGGAGCAGGAGGTCAAGGCGAGCCGGCAGAGATGGAGGGTCATGAAGGCCACTGCAAGTGCAATTGTAGCTGGCAGTGGAGTTGACTGGGCTGCTGACGAGCAGCTCAAGAGTATAGTACTTGATGAAGACGACGATGGCGTTTAGAGTCGAGAGAGTGACCAAAGACAGCTGCCCAGTCTTGTGGTACACATTTCCTGTATCGCGCGAATGCAGGTCTGACTACTGTTTAACGTCATGAATTGGAACGAGTCTGGTGGACAAGATGCACGAGATGTATGCATTGCAGCACCGAGCAATGTCGACGACTGTTACATGGTGCAGCATCACTCAATGACTGAACCCAATTTTGATACCGGGCTCTGCATCTGCATTTGATAGTTGATGCAGCTAGATTTCAAGCCACATCTGCGTAAAAGCTCATTTCTCTTCGCATCTGCGGCTTTCGACGAGGAGATGGCGTTCCACCTTGACCAGTGCAGATTGATGTCAAGTTCCGAGCATCGCTTTTAGCAAAACATGACGACAAGTTAGCGGGGAGAGGCAGATCAGGGGACCGATCAAGTGGAGGCCATCGGCTACTACACGTATACATCCTCAAAGCCTTGATAACGGTTACTTGAGAAGCAACATTTACAGTACTGTCAATTTCCCCAGAAGCTTTCTGTTTCTAAACAAATACCTCCCGCCATATGTAGGCTGTGAGCGTCACGATCCAGACTGGTCTTTTCGAACTGCGTCTGACCAATACCGAGGCGTTCGTGCCTGGATGGGGTCATACTGTAGATGCGGTTTAGCGCGGACACAATCTGGGCCGCATCTTTCCTGATGCGATGGATCTTTGATGCAATTGCCCATGTCACCTCGTGGCAGCAAAAGAAGGGGTTCATTTAGGACCATTGCGGGCATGGTTTTTAATCGATAGCGGACATTGATTTGGGCTGAGGCCAGTAGACGAGGTTCTATCATGAGAAAAGTTATAAAGGTCTTGATTCGGGTTGCGCGGGAGAAGCGAGGATTTATCGCGTGGGCGAATCCACGTGATGTCAACAATGCCGCAAGACAATCAGCCATGAATCCGGCTGGCACGCTACGCACCGATATTGGGCCCTGCCTGGGCCCTGGGGGGGGTGAGAGAAAGCTTACAGTAAATTGCCGTGTTCCAAAGAGAGCTCAAGCTTCATGGCGAGGGGGGGAAAGGCTCAAGCCAAAAGGTGGAGAAGAAGCTCTCAGAGGAGCAAAGACGCACTATTGAGCACAGTGCCAACTCATATTGTGACTCTGCTGCGCGCGCACTTTGGCTACAAGCAGTACCGCAAGATCTCATGGTGTACTTGGGGGGCAAGACGCGCCTTGTCCCTCACCCCAAAAGTCCTACCCATACATTAGCTGATCCTTGGGCTGACAGGAAATGGCGAGAGAGGCGAGATCTGGTGCACAGCAACACCGTCACCCACTCCCTGCCACTGCTCTGGTGCGTCGTATTCTTCCCACTAGGCACAGTCGCCCAGCCGCATCATGGAGTTGATATCACCGAGCTAGGTAATAGACTCTCATCAGCCAGAAATGGGACGTCACCAGTTTGTCAGTACATTGAAGTGATCGTCACTCCTACCAAGAAAGAAGATACACAGTAGAAGCAACCTCGACTTATATGCGGGATCGAGGACCGATTTTCATGGAATGATTATTCATACCAGTCCAGAGCCTCTCCAGTTATCTGTGCATCCACAGCAACAGCCTTCTGATTTGCGGTAGATGCGGAGCAATTGGGGTTCTCATTGTCGCACTGCCAAATCCTGTGACCAGCGGACTTGTGATGTAGCCGCTTCATAATAATAGTTGCCCGGATATCGAGTGCGAAAGAGTTGCAGGTTGCTAAAGCTCAATTTAGTAGATGGACGCGGCCGCCGAATAGTAGCCCGTAGAACCTCTCATCCCATCCATGTGATGGAGGGCCCCAATGTGCGCGGCGGTGATTACCAAACGGCGTACGAAGTGCATACCTCTAACAACACATCTCATAGACGGCAACCCTGCACTTCGGGCCCGTCAATCAACTGAAAAGCTTGGACAAGGGAAATGAATGCAGTTCGCTTGGTTACATGCATGTAGAATCCCTTTTTTGAGTCTCATCCAAATGAGTTGCTGAGCGGCCGCGTCAGCTCCAGTCTGCCAGGAGACCCAGGAACCAGATCTATCCATCTGGTGTGAATACTGCAACGAGACTTTTATAGTCTTCTGACAAAACTCGATAGTATTTACTACTTCAGAGAATGATAAGCTGTATAATCAGCCTGCGTTGAAGTCCTTGGTAAGAATTGCTGTCAAAGACATGCCAAAACTATATCAATTGAGATAAGGGTCCTCATTCCATTGCCCCAAGGTTAGCACTTGGTAATATTTAAAATTTATGTCGTGTGCATGTTTGGTGATCATATTGGTGGCCTTGCATGGAGCCTTTCGTGATAATACTAGTATGAGGTGACCGAGAGGAGACTTGTGACGGGCACAGGAAGGCACAGACACAGATAGTAGAGAGAGAAGTGAGGGAAAGGGAAGTGCGGGTGCAGAGAGGGGACAGCCAAACTCCCAGCAAAATGGGCGCGGGTAAGAATCACCAGCAAAACCGGCCCATCCACCACTGCGACTGAGCAGCGCGTCCACATGCACAAACCTTGGGAGACGAGCCATGGAAGTACCATACGCGCTAACCGGGGACCAGGAGGTACATCTGCGACAGGAGGCTGGTTTGGCTGGACTGTAGGTAGGCGTGAGAAAAGACCTGGTGCTGGGAGGGTGCAGGTAAAGAGGCAGAGGGAGCCCGAGGGCAGATGCAAACAGGTGATTGATTGAGCGCGGGGAAGAAATGAGCATATGGACACCAATGGGCGGGCGTCGACGACCGAGAGTGATGTGAACGCAATGAAAAGTGAGAGGGCGGAAGGCTTGGAGCAGATGCCGACGGGGTGTCAGCACAAATGTGTGAGGTACACAGTGAGGGCGCTCAGGGCCTCTGACGCTGCGCAACAGCGCAAAGAGGGGTACTGTACATGGCCGGGTGAAGGAGAGACAAGACGATGGAGTGTCGGTTTGTTACGCGCTTGCAGCGTAAAGGAAAGGTGTGTGGTCCCGTTGCCTGGCGATTGATTTGATGAAATGAGGAGACGAGAGCTTTTTTTCTTCTTTCTTGCGGCACGCACCAAACGAGGATTGGAGGAGGAGCCAACAGCCTGCCTGTCTCTCTCCTACCTACCTTGAGGTACCTCAGACCTACCTTGACCCCTACCTACATTTGATAGCTCGCAGGTCTGGCTGCTGCAGGCGTGCAACATGATGTATGTACCCCACGAAGCTCCCAGTGCGACGGAGGCGGTACATGCTTGATGCCTCATTCCATTCTTTTAAACATGGCATTACTTGCCTCCTACATACGCTCATCATAATATACAGTAGCGTAGTAGTAAGAGTAACCTCAGCCTGGCTCGCATAGATTTGGCCATGTCAAAATTGGAGTTCTGTCGCAGGAGCTGTGCAGTCAGTCAGTGCAGCGCATACATTACGAAAGTGTGTTATTATAAGCTGCTTGACATGATTATGGTGTGTGTGCGCCTGGTCTGGCTGGGTAGGTAAGGTAAGGTGGGTAGGTAGCTTGGGGTCGGGGCCTGTAGGTACCTTCCCAGCAGCCGATCGGATGCTTTCTTTCGACGACGCCCCTTCCCTCACGCTTGTGCTGTTTTGTATCGTATTGTCTTGCCTGTCTGTGATCTAGTAGATCCAAAGAGAAGGTATGGTCAAGTACCTACCTTGGAAGCGAATACCTCACTACACATGTGGGATGGAAACAATCAACAAGCGACGGACTTCTTTTTTTGTCTAGTGGACTATGATGTAGGTAGGTTGATACAGAAAAAAAAAAAAAAAAAAAAAAAGAACCTGCCATTATCTACTTTGTATCAAATTAATCAGTGCATAAGGTCAGCTCACAAGCCGATCATTGTGTTAATAGACAAAGATGTATTCCCAGGCAAATCATTACTAGTAAAATCAGATACCAGGGGGGCCACAGACAGAAGACGCGACAAGCCGACCCAGAGAAAGGGCGCCCCAGGCAAAGCAAGGAAAGGCAGCAACTGACTGGGCAAAGAAACAAAGTCAAGGCAGGTACAGTAGGTAATGTACCTAGGCACACACCCAAAGAAGTGAGAACGCAAAGCACAAAGGCAAGACCAAGCTTGGAAGGGGGAGCGAGCGAGACGAGACAGAGACCAACAAACCAGGCAACGCAACTGGGGGCCCCTCACTCATTCTTCCGCTTTCCTTTTGCACACCCACCCCAAGCAGCAGACACACACTCCCACCCCCTCAGGCAAGAAAAGGCCCAGCCCAGCTTAGACAGCTTTTGCGCGCGATTGACCAGACACCCACACAATCAGCTGGCCCTCTAGCTCCCATAGTAAAAGGGCGCCCGCACTCTCCCCCATACAAATTTCCCTCTCTTCTCTCTCACCAAAAAGCTCCCATACAAATCTCCCATACAAACCGCCCTCACATACAAATCATCGCCTACACTTCTATACCATACAAAACCAACACATACAGACAAGCAGCAACTGTGAGTACTTGCTTTTCTATGACTGCACACTGCAAATCACAAGTCCCTCTCTTCCCAATCGCCCTCCTTGCCCGTTCATCGCATCGCATCTGTTTTCATCGCCTGGACCCGTCCCATTGGATCTGATCTCGCCGTCGCGATTCATCGCCTCTTTGCGCCGCCCGCTTGCGAGAGCTCTGCCCACGCCCAGAGCTGTCCAAGCTTCATATCGCAAGCTCGCCTGGCCTGATCACCCGCCAAAAATCGATAAGAGTCACAACCTCGCACCCAAAGCTGCACTTGCGCGTCTTGCACTCAATGAATGCCGTTGTGCACAATTGCGCAGCACCACAACACCAAATGCTTGCAGATTCAGCAATCTTGCAACTATGGTCCTATGATGCACCGCGATGGGTCATTTCAAGCTTTTTTTAAGCTGGAAATGATTGACTGGACAGGGCGCAATTGCGCCGTCCATGAGTCTTCAATCGATCACGAAACATCATGAAGCTCATCGCGTCTTGCATCATTGTCGCAGCTATGAACCCCACCAACGTAGCGCGACGCGTCGCAGCCGACAAAACCACTTAAACTACACCCGCCATCACTGACTCCCTGGCCACACTTCAACACTAGCACTCATCTCGCATTATACTCGAGATTTCAAGTCACTGACAATACATAGATGCCTAAGGAAGCCACCAAGCGCGGTAAGACCGGCAAGGCCGAGAAGGTCAAGCGCGGCAAGAAGGGTATGTTTCTACACCACTGAACTTGTCAACGCTTGACTAATACCAGTTCCCAGACCCCAACGCCCCCAAGCGTGGTCTCTCTGCCTACATGTTCTTCGCCAACGAGCAGCGTGAGAACGTCCGTGACGAAAACCCTGGCATCTCCTTCGGCCAGGTTGGCAAGATCCTCGGTGAGCGCTGGAAGGCCCTCAACGACAAGCAGCGTGCCCCCTACGAGGCCAAGGCTGCCGCCGACAAGAAGCGTTACGAGGATGAGAAGCAAGCTTACAACGTGAGTACCCCATCTCCCACTTAAAACTATTTTAATTTTCTTTTACTGAACCATCTTGACCTTGCGCTGACTAGGCCATGGACAACTAGGCTGGTGATGATGACGAGGAGTAAATGCTCATTCGTTTTTTCTGTTCCACTGCCTCCGGTCTACCAGAGTGTCGAGGGGATGACCGACGGTTGTCCCAACGAACCAGCCTAGATGGAGGAATGCTTCTGGTTTCTATTTTGCGTGTAATATCGGATTTCGGACAGGTGTTGGCTGCGCTGCTTTTGAGGACCTTGACTTGATGAGAGGCCGGAAATTACGACTCGGGGGACAGGTTGTCTCGTTACAGTTGATCTGTCGCATCTCACACACGATACCCGACGGTCACTGGTAGCGCATGTACACTATAAGTCGTCTCCCACAAATGATGATGAGTTGCGACACAACAGACTTGTGTCTGAATCAGAACATATCTCACCCACTATCGCGCGTTATTCCTGACTTGCTGTGATCTTGGAAATTACTGCTGTATCTTGTGCCATTTCAAGTGGCCGTCGTAGAAGAATACAGGAACCCACTGGTGCTGCTGATGGTGGGTGGGTGGCGCTCATACACCTGATTGGTTGGCGTAGCTTCGCTTGGTACGTCTAGGAACAAAGGCGTATGGGCTTGGGATGCCAATAATGTATAGAAATCCTGGTGTCTGCCTAGAATGGATTTTCTCAGATCCTGCGGCAAAAAAGTCTTGAGTCTGTCCTTCAGCCTCTTCCATAGACGCTGTTGACTTAAACCACCCCAATCCCGCCGACGACATACAACTTACGCGAATTTCTTCATTCCTCTTCAATCAACCATCTGTTGTTTGATCGCATGATCGCAGCATGGCAATCAACAAGACCAAGATAATGCACAAATATTGCACATCACCAAGACTTTGAATCGGCGCGCTGCAGGGAGGTCGCCCTTTTCTCAATATTGCAGCCAACCGACCCGGCGTATTGCTTGTAGCGGCACGGCAAGCTTGATACGAGCTTGGGCAGACGAGGACGAGAGGCTTGCGAGCCGAGCTCTGATAATGATAAGCCCCAGATTCCCCGCCGTTCGTGGAGTCGGTCGAACAGCTTCTTTCCTTTCGTATGGACGGACCACTGGCCTTGGGTGTGCCGCTGTGCCCAGATTATAATGCAAGCAACAACTGGTAGCAGTCCCTGCTTTATAAAGAAAAATTTCCCCGCGATTCATCTACCCATTCCAGGTTTTGCTAATTGGTAGGTAGCTCTCTACATAATATAAGGACGTTTGGCCCCGATTCTCTGATCGCTATAGCCTATAGTGGCAGCAGCATCATGCCACCACAGTCCTCTCCTGCAGTGATGCCAGCGCTCTTGTTGGTCTAAAAGCAGGCAGGCTCAGCAACACTGCAGATTCCAGATGGCACAGCATCCGTTGCGTCCTTTGGGCCAGCCCTCTGGTAGTTGCGTGATGCCGGGCAGGTCTCTCGGGACTGGTTCGATTGATGTCCCGCATATGAATACATGCATGTCTTCATATCCGAGCCCGTTCACTACGCCTGATCCGGATTACGGTCCAATTTACTGTTGCATATTTTCTCCATGGGACCGGATGTTGGATTCGTGGCAATCGCTGACTGCCCATTCTACAATATGCTTTCATACTGCCTCCTACCCTTTTTTTTCACGCCTACTGTCTCAGTCTCAGTGGCTTTCACAGAGCGTATGAATTTATTGATTACCCATGATTGGCAGCAGCAACAACAGTAGCAGGTCTGTTAATTGATGACGCGCAGTCTCTCTTCACTGCAGAATATGCAGAACATCGCCAAGCTCCTGCAGACCTAGCAGCGGCTTACGCGAGCGAGCAGTGGCCTGCGCTGTCGCTTCTGCTGGAAACTAGGAATTATCGTTTGGGGCAGAGCCCAACTAGAACTTGAAAGCTGAATAAAACCAAAGGGCTCTCTCTGCCTCTTGCACGTTCTCAGCCTTTGGTTTTCGGCATGTCAATGCTGGTCAAGCTTGACTGCGTGTGATTGAATATCTATTGGCTTTCGGGTCTACACCACCACTTGCCCCACACGGCCAACTGGCCGGCCGTAGCGGAGGTGCCCTTATGGGAGGCTCTGCTTTTTCCTCGCCGATGTAGGTGCCCTTACTCTTGGGGTTTCTGTTCCACTCTCACTTTCTTTCTCTCTTTCTCTTCTCTCCGTCTGCGTTGGGTCTCGACTTTTTCCCCAATCCCGCCTTGGCGGCGACCGTCCACCATGTATTCTACAAGCTGCTTTGGGAATTCATCCTGAATAGCCTACAGCAGAGATGCTACAACGAGGGGAGCGAGAATTTCGGTCCTATGATACTGCTCAAAGTACGTCGGTCCCGCCGCCGCCATGGAGTTGGTTCGTAATAGCGTGGGCATCAACCTGCTTGATGGGTGCTGTTATGAGGCGGAGCGCGCTGAAAGGGTCGCCGGGAGCCTTGAACAACTTCGACAACACCTTCCACCAGATATGCACGCGCACCTTGCCGGCCTAATCACTCAGATCATCTCAACGTCGCACAATCTTCGGGACATTACGGATCACTCTCAAGTCCACATGGCCCGAGTTCCGTGGGCCACCGATCATCTCAATATCCTCCTACCTTGTTTGGCGAGAACTTTGAGAGACATTGAAGGATACTACTCGAATAATGGTGAAAGTCGGGTGAACAGGTGGCGTAGAATGTATCAGGAGATGGGTGAAGAGCTACGCGGAACACCTCTCCCGGCCCGCTTTGTTCTGTACAATGACTACCTAAATCAACTCCGTTTCCTGCTCGGCAGGTATGTTTCAATGCGCACGATGCAGCTTATAGTCATGATCTTAACCCATTTCCAGGTCGCCAAATTATGACCCAAACTCATTGATTTATATGCAACGTCGAATACTTGATCTCAGGAGGGCAAGAGATATCCGTGAGTTCCTTTCGGTGGGGAGAAGCGATCAGGTACTTTACAGCAGCTAACACGAAGCGACTTGAGCCCTTCCTACTCGAATCGAAAACCTGCCTATCTTGCCGTGGAGAGACAGCGCCAACCAGCTGGATGTTGCAACGGTACATTACTGCTCAGCTTTGTTTTCTTGTCCTTGTTACTGAAAACTGAATGATCCAGAGATCGCACTGGGCGGAATCCATTTTCCAGCCAGAAATCCCAAGAAAATCTAGGCTGGAAAGACCCAAAAGGTGTGTTTAGCAGTTGTGAAGCATACCAGCCATAGTCATGGTCGCTAATGATTCGGCAGCACACAATCTGAAGCATTCGGCCCATGGGAACGGTTTGGGCAACCTTTTGTCTCACCCAATGCCAAGATTCTTACTAGATGGTATGTCCGAGATACTGCAACTCGAACGACGCAAACGATTCCTGCATCGATATTGACCAGGATCTCGATATAGTCACTTCAATAATCACCAGCTCTCTGTCACCTTCATTCTCCAGGATGATGATGCTCCCTGGCTGATGATTCGAATTGTCAATCGCCAAGCGCATTGGCTCTGCTTGCATGGGGCTCACGAACTGTGCATCTCACGTCACGATTATGCAACTTTGTATCTCTCGCGTTGGAGCAGGACTGAGCAGAGGGCAAAGAGATGGGCAAGCTTGAAGTTTGAGTTCTTCGAAGGTAGGTTCCTTGGTGATTCGACTTGTCATTCTTGAACGACACTGAATATCTCGGCAGAATTGGTTCTCTTCTACAATATGTTCCTTTGCTTGAAGTTGAAAAGTAGTCGAATGGTAGACTTTCATCCCAAAGAATTGGCATTGAGGGAGGAAATCAACATGTTTACGGCGTGAGTCTTGATTTCAATACGCCACATTCATTCACTCTACAATCACGTACTGATGGGATCAAAGCTTTGTGGAAGACGACAGGACGATATACACCCTTGCAATACATCGCGATGTCGATACCAAACGACGTCGACTCCAGATGACTTTGTGCGAAGGCCACCTCAAAGGCTGCCCTGTTTGGACAGCCTTCCGTAAGCAGATGGCCAAGATATCTTTCACACTTGTCAATCTACTGACGGCGATGTAGTCCCTGGACCCGGCGAAACCCCGCGCTCTCAATGGTTGAAACGCGGCAAGTCAGAACATGTCATTTTGTTGAAGAACCTTCATGCATACGTTTTTTGTGACGGCTACTCGGTACCGACAACTAAATTGAACGCGGACACCTTCAAGATCTATTTTGTCAACCCAATTGGTAAGAGCGCCACTTGGAGACCAAGGCGTTATTTCTGACCTGGATGTAGATGCCGATAAGTTTTTGACATACTTTTGATCGCCCTTACCACACCATCTTTTACCGTTTCCGAGCCACATAACAGCCGCTGCGGTTGGTGGGCAATGATGATGAAAAACATATATGGGAAAATCAGGACTTGCGAACTTAGGGTCATATTTACGATGTGATGATTTGGATATGAACGATTACGACTGCAGCAGCACCGAGTCCCTTTTCGCCCGGGGCTCAAATTTCATGAAAGATACCAGAAAGGAAAGTAATCACAGATTGACGATTCACGATTTACGACATGACGAGGCCCCAAAAGAAAGATTCTTCCGCGGGAGGACTTTGGCAGATTGTACAAAAAACAATATGCACATGTTTTTGTGTATTGCTTTCAGGTTTATATCCCCCCTTTGCTAGTTAATTTCTCCTGGTCGACTTGAGCTTCTCCTTTCTGTTGTCACAAAGTGTATATATTCGAGGGAAGGGAACGAGTAATACATGCTTTGCTTGTCTAGTCTCATTGAAGCCTTTGAGAGATGGCATTATTGACGATGGTATACCCACGATTAGATGGCGTGCGTCATGAACTTCATTGAATGAAACTCATCTACATAACGTAACAACATATATGGATAATGGCAGAAGTTTCTTTTTACCATGGTTTCCGCAAATCGTGACGGGAGAATAGCATGTGCAAAGCTGAGAAGCATATGACCTGCCCATCTACCATGTTAGAAAGATTGGAATCAACCCTGCCATACTGCCTGAGTCGCCACCATCCCGAGACTAGCTGTAGGTAAAGAAAGAGTTCTACATTCAGTATTTACCATCATTTAATGATAATACCGCGCAGCGCCCTTGATTTGGGGGACATTTCGCACCAGTTGATAACTCACTCGTTCAAATGAGAGTATATTTTGCAAAACAATAGAACCCTTTGACTTTGTCAAGGTCAAACAATCACAGGTGAAATGGTTAAAAAAAAAAACAATGGTAAAACAAGATGCCCAAGTTGACCCAAATCCGACAGCGCAACCTCCGCTCAGCCTGTCACACAAGGGGGGCGTATCACGAGAACAACACACCACATGCACTGCCCACATACATCATGCAGGCCCCGCACACAGCCTCGGAGCAATGCATGCCACCTAGAGCAAATGAAAGTCCTCGCCTGCTTGGAAGCGAGCACTCTTCTTCTCAAGTTGTAGAAATCGCCTGAAGCACAACTCTAACCATTTTTCGACCTTGAGTTTTCCATTGTCCACCACAATGGAGGCGCTTGGTGGGGTGGCCAGCGTCATCGCTGTGGTTGATCTCTCAGCCAAAGTGCTCTCACTCTGCTCGCAATATCACGAAGAAGTCAAGAATGCTAGAAGCGATATTGAGGAGCTCAGAAAAGAGGTGCAAAACGTTCAGACGCAACACGAGAGAACAAAAATGTTGCTTGAAGGCCGAATGGGCTTTGTCCTTGAGACTTCACGACAGCTGATTGAAGGCCATCAAGGTTGCAAAAAGCAACTGGAAGATTTGGAGTCCAAGCTGGCACAAAATCTACAAAATCAGCCTGGTTCCACGAGGATGAGAAGATTTGGTTGGCGAGCCCTGAAGTGGCCATTTGCAGCCAAAGCGGTACAGGAGACCGTCCAAAAGCTCAGAGTATTCCAACAAGACATATCAAAGGGACTTACCATCGATCAAACGTGCGTTCCAACTTATCTCATTATGCTGATTGATTGCTGATCTTGGTTTTACTAGCGTGCTTGAGCTGGGTGATGTTGAGCGCTCCTTCTTGGAGGCCATTTCATCTATACCCTATGAGAAGCACCACAACAGCAACAGCGAGAAGCGAACTAAGGGTACGTGCGAGTGGCTACTTTTGCACGAAACTTTCAATGAGTGGCGAAAGAGTAATTCACAAGTAATATTGTGGCTTCAAGGGCAGGGTAAGCTTTTCTTTTACCGCTTTCAGCTACTATACTGACCTTCCTAGTTGGCGTTGGAAAGACATGCTTGATGTCAAAGGTTGTCGATTACATGAAAGGAGAATCCGGAAACCTTTCACAAAATGAGGGGGTTATCTTCTTCTACTGCGATCATCAAGAGGAACGGCGTCGAAAACCAGTATCTATTTTCCAATGCCTGCTTCGTCAACTCCTACTGTTTGCAAAAGAAGACCATCCTGCGAGAAAGCAGCTCTACAATCGCTGGCAGGGGCGAGAAACACAACAGCTTGGCCTCGATCTCGAGGAGTGCCAGAAGTATCTATCTCACTTGATAAATGATTCCGCAAAGACCACAGTCATTCTTGATGCCTTGGACGAATGCGAACCCAGCTCTCGCAGGTACATTATTGAGGGACTCAAGACTCTCTTGGAAAAGTGCAGCAAGCCGCTCCGTATCCTCGTCTCTAGCCGTCCTGAAAGAGATATCCGTGACAGACTCTCTTCTGTCTCCAGTATTGATGTCCGGGCAGAGTACAATGAGCAAGACATCAAGACTTTTGTCAAACAAGAGATTGTCAATCATGATAATTGGAGCAACATGCCGCCTGAACTACAACTCATTATTGAGCGTACAATCCAGGGGAAGAGTAGCGGAATGTATGTCCCAAGTAGGCTTGGCCAAACAGAGAGATACTGATACGCAATAGGTTCCAGTGGGCAGCTCTTCAGGTCGATCAGCTTCTAGAGCAAGAAACTATCAGCAACATCAAAGACCGCCTCGGCCGGCTGCCTGATACCCTAAAGGGCACATATGACGAGCTATTCGCTGCAATAAGAATCCGAAAGGGGACTGACAAATGGTTAGCAGAAAATGCTCTGAGATGGGTCATGTGTGCATTTGCCCCTCTCGGAAGAGAAGAATTGCTGTCCGCAATCCGATTGAACACGGAGGGTGACGAATTGGTGTTGCTTGAAAAGATCACCGAAGTCCAATTGCTGAAACTATGCAACCACATGCTCGTCTTCGATACAGAACGAGACGTATGGAGATTTGCACATTTTTCAGTCATTGAATATCTTGAAGACATCGGCTTTGGCATCCGGAAGTCTCATTCAGACGTTGCCAAGGCTTGCCTGAAGCTTCTCAACCACACATTTATCAATTTTGAGCAGCAAGGGGACACCAGCAAAGTAAAAAACCACACTACAGTCACAGATGGCATCTTCGAAACTGATCATCCCATCCAAGTGTATTCTCGACATCATTGGATCAATCATATTCAGACACAGGAGACCTCCTCAGAGCAGGAACGAGATGATGAACTGAAAGAGCAGAGAATTGACAATGCATTGACTCGCCAACTTCAGACCTTCCTGGGTTCTTTTGACAACAGCAGCCCTCAGTATCGAAATTGGTACGACCAAGTTTTTGAAGACCGATATTTTCCACGCACATCTTTTCTATACATCCCGGGTCATTGCCGCACAGCCCCCTTACGCATGATATCTCCAGAATCGGCAAGCATTCTACTTGCCTGCCGGTTCGCGGTCCACAAGGTCTTGGAGGATTGGTGGAAAGCGGATTATGACCTTTGGCAGACCAATCATGATGGGAAGAACCTTTTGGCCGTCGCTGCAGCCGGCGGTTCCAACTCCATTTGCAAAGAGCTTTTAAGTCGTGGAATCAATGTTGAAAGCCAAAAAACGAATAATGCCGAAGCTCTTGCTGAAGCATACTATTATGGCCATATTGACACCCTCAAGCTCTTAATCACAAAACAAATGGTTGATCCGAATGTGGGTATAGGCTTGAAAGGCAGCATCCTCGTAATGGCAGCAGAAAACAGAGATCTTGAGACAACAAGATTTTTGCTTCAAGAAGGGCAAGCAAACGTCAACATGGTTGTTGAACACGGCAGGTGTGGCAGTGCTTTAACAGCAGCATCTAGAACATTCTGTCTAAGCATCGTGAGACTCTTGGTCCAAGAAGGCCAAGCAGACGTCAACATGGTTGTTGAACACGGCCAGTATGGCAGTGCTTTAGCAGCAGCATCTAGATCATTCGGTCTAAGAGTCGTGAGATTCTTGGTCCAAGAATGCCAAGCTGACGTTAACATGATTCTTCAGCATGGCCGTTATGGAAGTGCTTTAGCAGCAGCAGCAGAAGCAGGATCTCGTCGCGGATCCAGTAAACATGTTGTGGAGTTCTTGGTCCGAGAAGGCCAAGCAGACGTTAACATGATTCTTCAGCATGGCCGTTATGGAAGCGCTTTAGCAGCAGCAGCGTCACGTAAGAATTTCAAAACTGTCAAGTTCTTGGTTCAAGAAGGTCACGCAGACGTCAATCTTCCTCTCAGGTGCGGCAAATACGGTACAGCCCTTGCAAAAGCAGCAGCAAGTGGGGAGCTGAAGATTGTGAAGTTTTTGGTTGAAGAATGCGGGGCGAAGATCAATCTGCCTGGAAACATTCGACTCAGATATGGGCTCGAGTGCGACGCCATTCATGCAGCACGCACAGCGAAAGAGAAGTCGAAGGACAATGGGTGCTTGAAATTTCTCGAAGATTGGGTGGCTCGTCATCCTCAAGAAGTGGAAACCGAAAATCAAACATGAGACTGGCCGTCTTTTTTATTTTGTAGCCCCGAACTGTACCATTTTACATTTAGTTCACGAGGCTTTGGATTTTATCAGGCGGAATAACGTGTACATAAGCATTGTAGTATGTGTTGAAGTTTCTCGGGTTACATTGAAAATAACGTCACTCCTCATCCCCTAGGTATCTCAAGTCTTGAACTCATCAAGGTCGGCCAGTTGCAAGCGCCCGGCTTGAATGAGCTGACTGGTTTCACAGGTACCTACTCAGCGTTAAGCTAAGAACAACCCGCATCATTACACCTAGATAAGGAACCAATACTGAGAATAAATCTTGCGCATTTCGAGAAACAAGTGAGGCAGAGACCCCCGCCGAGTCACATCTTCAAACCATTCCGACAGACTATTCCGACACCTTGACAGGCTGCCTCAACCCGTACCGGAACGTATACTCTCCCCACTTCTCCCGTCCGGCAAACACGCCATCCGCCGGCGGCGGTCCGACAGCCCACTCGTCTAGATCAAAAGTCAGACGATCAACCTCCTCATACCCGTGCTTGCTGAACAGTACCCAGCCAGCCTCGGACGAGTGCACCCACGAAAAGGCGCCCAGCCGATCCGCCTGCTCGGTGCCCCAGCGGAGCAGCTGCGAGCCAACCCCGAGCCCTTCGTAGCGCGGGTCCACCGAGATGCCGCCGATAAAGATGCACTTGGAGCCCTCGGGCATCCGCTTGCCCATGAAGTCAAACAAGTGCTTACTCGTCATGCCCTCGAGCGCCTTGATTTTCTCGGCTCCGGGGGGCTCAGTCTGATCCTCGCCTGCACTCGCTGCTGTACTGTCATCGTCCCCATTTTCCCGTCGACCAGAGAGGACGTCCTTGTCCGTCTCGGCGCCGGGCGAAGGGTCAAGCTCCACGCCCCGGAACCCCCAGGCGCAGGACCCCACAATGGTGCCGTCCCGGTCGTCGGTGGCCTTGATGAGCACGGCCCGCGGCGACTCTAGCCAGGACCGCGCGCCCGCAACCATGCCTTGCGCAAACGCGCCGGGCCGCTGACCCATGATTTTCATCTGTGAATTTGTGTCCTTGTCAAAGGCGCGGGTCGAGATCTCGCCGATCCGCGGCACATCGCCCGGCGAGGCCCGGGATATGGTAAAGGTTGGTTTGGAGTCGGACATGTTTTATTCTCGACTTGGTGATATGGGCTAGCAATGCAGTGGTGCGTATAAATGATGCGGATTGGTAGAGGTGTGCGAGGCCCTAGAGTGTTTCTGGACGAGTGGCGTCAGTCGGACCAAAAGCGTTATGATGTTTGCCGCTTTCTCTAAGAGGCGGAGCAGATGGATCCATGGATGTTCTTGTATCCGAAGGAGCTATAGGGCGCCCGCCGGAAGTTGGGAGCTCCGGCGATACACAAGTTGCGTTTTCCCCGGGGTGAGTCAAGCGGCGTGATACGGCTACTGAGCTTCCGAATCCGTCCTGGTTCACTAGTTCGTACATCTGTCCGCCGCAGCAAAAGACACCAAAATTTCCTGCATACGAGTATCGCATCCAGTTTACACGATCTCTGCATGGCCTTTAGTTTCCGTTTTTGTCACGCCGAACTGGTTGCATTGGATTGCTTCAATACGTTTATAGGGTATAGAAAGTTTTGATATTTTGATTCGCCAGTCAAACTGCCCGCGGGATATCCTTGAACCCCATAGTAGAAAACATCTCTCAAATCAGGAAATCGTAAATGGCCAATTTTTCAAGAGATGGCCGGCCAAAAGTCATGTCTGGATAACGCCATAGTCCTCGTGGTATCAAAATCTGCAAATGAAATAGGACAATTTACACCTCGTCAGTCTGATCTCTTTGCCCAATCTCAACGACTGAGCCGCGCATAGTCTGCAGGATTGTACGGCGGAATGTTGTGCTGCTGTGTCTTTGGCCCAGAGTGATGCTCCTCTCGGGTCTCGGCATGGGTAGCGAGCTCAAATGCGAACCCCTTGTGATCGAGCCCTGGCGACCCGTGCGGTGCATTTCCCGGTTCGGAGCTGTAGGATGTCGGCCTTGAGCTTTGCAAACCCGGGCTGTGTTGACTTTGTGACCACCTCCAGTTGTTCGGATTTGGTGACGTCTTGCCTGAAGTGTCGGAAATGCCTGGAGACAGTTGTGGCGGATGCAAGCTTGGCGATGCCTGCGGATGATACATGTCTCCCGGTAGCTCCATCACAATATCGTTTTTCTGCGGTGCCTCAACAGGCAGCTCGGCAACCTGGGGGTGTTCTACTGGCTTGCTATACTGGTAACTACCTGATTGATGCGACATGGACGAGTTGGGTCTATTGAATTGTTGATGTTGTTGTAAGCTCGGCGGCACCTGGTACGAGACGGGCCGTGGAATCTGATACGGGATAGAAGGCGACATTGGCGGCATGGAAGACTGTCCCGTATGCGTGTGGTACATGCTTGCTGGGGAGTCTGGTGGCGACTGAGCCGCCAAGCCGCCAGTGTACTGCGATCGGTCATTTGGATTTGACGTCTTGATCTTGCCATTCTCGATCATGGCAGTCAGGACACCGGCCTCGAGCAATTCGGCCTTTTTGACAATGCGATCCACCATTTCTTTGCTGGCAGCCTTGAGCTGCGCCTTGACAAAGCTCACCATGGCAAAATTGCAGCGAATTTCAATATCTTCGCGTAGATAGAGTCCGTCCTTGGGGGCGCCGAGTCCCATCTCCTGCTGCTCCGGTGGCTCGACGCCCGGCTGGTTCCCACCGATGCGATACTTGTTCCGGAGGTCGACGCCAGCCGGAGCGTAAATGTGGGTTTGTAGGCCCCACGGCAAGTCGTGAAAGCAGCCATTGAAATTGATGACGCCAGAGCCCAATTTGCCAATGCCGGGAATGAACTGCAGGCGCTCGGTGATTTCGTACCAGGTCGAGTAAAATTCGTCGCTGGGGGCGTTGCGCGGTGCCGAGATGGGCTTGTGACTGAGCACGAGCGGGTTCAGGGTGATGACCTCACCATGGCTGTGGAGGATATCTATGGCCAGTTGGCGGGGAATGAATCCGGGGATTGGCGTTATCACCGTGTAGACTTCCTTTTTGCGGAGCACCATGTTTGCGCAAAAAAAGTTGATTGCTCCCCCTTTGCGCGCGTTGGTGACGATGATGACAGAGATATGAATCTTCTATTTTACAGTGTATGTACAGATTGTTTCTCTGGATGCAATAGATGAGTGTAAAAAGCAAGAAGAGAGTTGGCAAGGGAAAGAAAGAAAATAGTTTTCTCGCTATGTAAGCCCTATCTACTATCGTGGCACAGTGACGAGCTCAGCGGTGCTGACATGGGTACTGGGCGTGGTTGTAATTGCGACGCCGGTCACCAACTGAACCGAGCGAGCTGAGCTGAGCTTGGGGTCGGGTCGGGTTGGAACTTTTGGGGTGAGCTGTGCAAAGCTTTCTTTCCAAGAGGGGAAGGAAGGAAGCTTTTCCGGGGGGTCAGTTGAGTGATTGATGAGTGAACCCAGTGCTTGTTTGCCAAGTAGGCGGACGCTTGTGATGGCGATCTGTTTCTCCCCTCTTTCTCTGCTCTCCTCACTCAGCCTCGAAGAGAATGGCGATGCATCGGTGCTAGAATGGCCTGGGGCCCAGGCTAGGATCAAGCTACTCCAGACTAAAACCCTGACGGCTCTGTTTTCTTGAACTGTGCAACCATCAACTCAGAGCTCAAATGGATGTCAGGCAGCCGGTTGTGTGCCAACACCGTTGAGTTTTATCCGGTCCCACGCCAGTTCCAACGGGCATCAAACAAATGCTGACAGCCCGATGGTGCCAAGCAGGATACCGGCATTTGCCAGTTCCAGTATTGCTTGCTTGTCCCTCCATCCTCATTCCAGATCAAGAATACAAACCAGCTGTCAATGTTTGTTTGGTCTCTAGGTTCATTATTGATGGATACCTAACGCACAAACATATTCTTACACGACCAGACCCAAGCGAGTGGGATTGCCCTTACAAATCCAGTGGCGTTGCCCGAAATAGACACAGGCTTTTTTGGTGTCGCACTCGAAGAGGGACTCTGATCCTTGTAGGGAGCCACTGGCCCAGCCATTTGGGTTCGTGCCTCCGTTTTTCTAGCGAGGGGCTAGGTTGTATATTGGTCGGGAAGCTCGCTGCTGACCTTCCATGCTGGCAGGCGAAAACAATCTTGTCTCCGATGTTTTGAACAAATCAGATGGCTGGTAAACGTCAAAGTTGGTGGTCAGCACTTTGATAGCATCTTGAAAAGCTCGGTCAAATGTCTTTCAAATGTCTCTCTTACACGTGCATGTGTGCTTACATTATTACTCTTATTTTCTTGCTCCTTTTTCTTTCCGTCCCAACGTCTCAGCAAGGGCCCAGTGACCTTGTTTATTCAGACTAATTGCTTAGATCTCTCTATTCTTCCCCAGGACCCCTTGATACAATATCGCGCAGGTGGGTTTGTAGTGGCCAAGGAGCACAACACCCAAGAAACCGCCGAGCTCTTGTCTAGCGTAAAACCTGTCTCGGCCATAGTGGTCTCTGAGCGCCTGCCTTGCCTGCTGACTGACCGGTAATCTCAGTTGAAATCGTCGGGCAGATAATGTACCTGGGTAGGTAATAGGCTTTTCGGCTCGAGAATTGCGAGCTCCAGTATCGAGGACCCGTGAAAGATGACTTCATCATTTGCCATTATGTTCTATTTCGACAATGATATCCTATCAAGGGTCCAACTATTACAAGACCCAGGTCTCATGCTATTTCAAGCGCTTACCCGCGCATAGCGCTCCTCCATTCCGCCGGATCCATTATTTCCGGGATAGAATCTGTGGGTTAGGTCAACGGCCGCAAATAGAAGAACATTCCCACAGCTTGTGCCTCTCTACCAGAAGCAAAGCCTCGTGAACCCAGGCTCTACCCCTTGTCCGATCAATGAGCTCAGAATTCCTACGCGATTCTGGGTCCCGGAGTTTGCTAATGTCCCTAGTGGACAGGTGAGGAAATCGTTGTAGGTTCTACCAAGTTGACCATATAGCACAAGACTGTATACCTTTTCCATTATCTTTCCATGTTTGTTTCTTTCGCCTTTTCAGAATGTATGCCGGAAGGTCCCGGCGCCTGGATATGTACTTGGATAATTATAAACCAGAACACAAATACATACATACCTACTCATCATGAAAAGTACATTAGGCAAAATGGTAAGTATGATTCAGCATCTTCACTACCAACACCTCCAATGAATTCAGACCACTCTCTGAAGATCTTGCAGCTGCATTGAGTGGTGCCAAATTTGGACTTCTTCTGCGTGCTCAACAAGATCAAATTTATCGCGTTTGTCAATACTACATTTTTCCCACGATGGAAGGTTTGCATCTGCAGGTCCTGGCGAATCTGAATAAAAGATGAATATACTTGTTAAAATCATAAGTATTGCGCTAAGGTTAATGGTAGGTAGGTAGCCATGTAGCTCCACTGCTCTAGCAATACCTAGCCTAGAAGATCTGATCTTATACTCTATATTATTGGCTTTGTTTCAACTTTCGCGTGCGGTGCTATGCATGAGATGTGGTCTACTATAAGATCTAGGTAGTCATGTATTGTGTGCATGCGAAGATGCGGACTCGGCATCCTAATGACTAACCTTTGCATTGCGCCAATGTTGTGCAACTATTGTGCTAGCTAAAATGCGTCTCGGCTTTGGAGGTTTGTCAAACAAGGCTATTCCATTCCTCGAACCCTGCTCTATACGTGGTCAGTAGAGGCTAGTACACTGCAGAATACTAAAGTCAGATCATATTACATGCGACTAGTCTATGAAAATCTATGTTACCTACCCTCTTCTGGAGCGCCATCTTGGGCTTGGCCATGTTGTAACAGGGATTCACGGTGAGACCCAGTGCGTACAGGTTCTGGAATCGTGAAGTGGAGTGTTGCGCCATGTAGTACAATCTATGGATGGTGACCTACACAAGTCTAGTCTCTACCAACAGGCTGCACGTCCCGGCCTGATGAAGTAATTAGTTGTTAAATCATATTGTCGATACCTGGTCAAAGATACGAGTGAGAGTACTATGTAGATAGGGATATGAATGCTCAACACAAGATCTTCATCAATGCACAGGAGGGACAATTTTGTCGGGGGCAGCGTCCGGATAGGAACTCAGCCCCGGGCCGCTTGACTAGGACCAGACGAAGCCGTCTCGGCGGCGGGCATCAAAATCTCGGCGTGAATACCAGCAGATGGACAAAAGTTGCTCGAGCGCTGAACACAAGACCATGCCAGGGTCCCGACTGACTAAATATCTTGACGGGATTGGCCTTGCAAAAGTCGCTTCAAACAGCATAGATGCTCCATTTCCGTCTGGCATAGATTGCATGGTCCCGTCAGGTTGGTTAGAGTTCACTTCCTCAACGGCGCAACGGCGCAACGGTTTGCTGCAGAATGCCTCTGTGGAGTCTTGCGCCGTGGAGATTCAAAAAGACCATTGCATCTCTAGTGTCGGTAAACCCACCAGAGTGCCAGCATTCAGCAATACTTGGCGAAGTTGGGCCATCTTTCACTGGTCGGTGACTATACGACCCCTGGCGGACCCCGCATGTACGCACAGATACAGATGGATCTTCAGCATGAATACTACTACTGTGTATTTACGAGATGTTTGACTGGCTGGTCAGGACAGGGACCACATAAAGCTTCGCAACATTCAACCGTCTTTTGAAATATATATCATGCATCGATCGCCATTAGAGAATCAGTAGCGTTACAAATTTTCGCTCTGTGTAGCTATTGCTGCGTTGTCACATACGACCATGGCTCACGACAATGGCGGCAGTCTGCTCCGCCTCGTATCCCCAACTGGCATCTTATCGTTTGACTTGATTATTGTCCTGCTGGGTCTTTCATGTCTGTACATTGTTGGAACTGCCATCTTTTTCCTCACATTTCATCCCTTGGCCAAGGTGCCTGGTCCTAAGCTATGCGCGGTGACACGCATGCCGTTCTGGATTAATTATGTGAAAGGAAACGACGTCAAATGGATGTTTGGACTTCACGAGAAATACGGCCCAGTCGTACGATTTGGGCCCACCGACATCAGCTGTTCCTCTGCGCAAGGCTGGAAAGACGTCCATGGTCACGTTAGAGGTCAAAGAGACATGGAAAAGGCACAGGAAGCCTTTGTCCAACCGATCAACGGTAAGGGGTCACCAGGAGAGTCATCATCATCAAACATGCATGGACTGATGATCGGATTATAGGAGTTCCCAGCATACTTACCACTGATTATGAGAACCATAACCGAGTGCGCCGTCTGTTTCTGCCCGCATTCTCGGAGCGAGCTCTGAAGAAGCAGGAACCTCTCTTTCAGAAATAGTAGGTCGTCATCCACAGCAATGGAAGAAATCTCGATACACGTGTCGCTAATGTGAAAGGAAAATTAGCGTCGATATACTGGTGTCAAAATTGCACGAACTTGGTGATAATGGCACCCCAGTGGAAATGATGCAGCTTTATAACTTTGCAACCTTTGACACCATGGCAGAGTTGTGTTTTGGACACCCCTTGGGCCTGCTCGAGAAGAACGAGTTCAGCCCGTGGGTCGCCTCCATATTCGGCTCAATCAAGATGATGCCATACTCGACCATGATTGGATACTATACGATCCTGAGGGAGTTTTTCGCTCGTTTTGAGCCAAAGGCGATCCGAAAACAAAGAGTTGAGCATTGCAAGCATGCAGAGGACCGTGTCAACCAGCGTCTCCACGAGGGCTCCGACCAGCCAGACATATGGAACCTGGTCATGGTCGCCGACGGTTCCGAAAAAGGTTTGACGCTCAAAGAGATGCACTCGAATGCAGAGCTCTTCATGATTGCCGGTTCTGAAACAACTGGTGAGTATTAGTGTGTGTCTCTTGAAAAGTAAAGTTGGCAACGTACTGACCGTTCCCTGAAGCAACACTCCTCTCGGGATTGACGTTCCTCCTACTCACCAATCCTGAAAAGATGCAGCGACTCGCCAAGGAGATTCGAGACTCGGCAAAGGCCATCAAGGACATCCACTTTGACACCATTGCCAACTTGAAGTACATGAACGCCTGCATCAAGGAAGGTCTTCGCTTGTACCCTCCAGTGCCATTTGGCGCCCCGCGCGTCGTCCCCGCTGGCGGCCACACCGTCATGGGCTTTTGGCTGCCAGAGGAGACGCGCGTGTCGTGCCATCACTACTCGGCCTACTACTCCGAGGCCAACTTTAAGAATGCCACCTCGTTTGTGCCGGAGCGCTGGCTCGGCGACCCCGCGTACGTTGATGACTCGAGGGATGCCTGGCAGCCCTTTGGCTACGGCGCTCGTGATTGTGTCGGCCAGAACATGGCCATGCACGAGATGAGACTTTTGCTGGCCCACGTCTTGTTCAGCTTCGACTTTGAAATCTGCGACGAGAGCCGCGATTGGATCGACCAGGAGACTTACGCGTTATGGATCAAGAAGCCCTTGCTGTGTCGGCTCAAGCCCGTGAAGAATTAACTGGTGGGCTAGAATTTTGTCGTTGAAGATGAATGATGAGTCTAATCTCGCTTGGCGGTTTATATTACCGAGGATCAGTTGTTGTCGAGATTCCGTGGGAATCGAATAAATCACGTAGGATGACATTTGATTCTCGAGGTTGACTTTGGATGGTAACGCGGATAAGGGCCACGTGCGGTGCCTGGAAACGCAGTCGGAGCCGTACACAAAAGGCAGGTTGATAATGACAACTATAAGTCTGCTTTAATAAAATCAAGTAGACCGCCTAAGCCGCAAACATTTCACAGAGTGCGGATCATGTCCGCGTGTGCAAACGCCGATCGGAATACGAGTTAGATGCCGTTTAAAGATGAAATAGAGTGTATAATGTTGCTATCAACAAAGAAACCAGAGAACAAGTACCAGGACGCGTAAGTGTATACTTATCAGGATCGCGATGAGTGATTAGGGCAGAACAGAACAGACCACCAGTTCCCGACCGACCGACAGGGCCCCCGACAAGGCCCCCGACAGCCGTTGCGCAGGGCAGGGTTGGGTTGATCCCCCGCAACTGCCACATTCATCATTAGGGCCCGCTCACCAAAAAGTAACGGCACCGCCACGTTGGGTCTCGGACCCCGTTATTCATATCATTCTGAGGGCACTGATTAGTTCTGGGTATTTGTGTTGCAACTCTACGACTTCGCGGCTATGTCTAAGCGAACAGACGTTTTCGCGTGGATATATATTATGGACGCGTGAGGTGTCGTAATGAGGCTCCATTCAAGTTGAGCCACACAGTTGCACCAGGAATTTATAGAACTAGAGCCATGACAGCATATACCTAGGAGAGATAATGACAAGCCATGAAGACACAAGTATAGTACCAAATCCATATTGCAAACGTATCTTCAGTCTGGATTAGGAAAATATCATTGACAATTGATTGACCAGATGATATGTGTTATGGATCCAGCGATTGCTGTATAAGGTTTTCTTTGCGAGATCGCGGAAAATGTTCCCAACCCAGACGACAGTCTCATTGGTCAATTGGCAACTCAGTGCCGACACGACTTAAGCATAGAAATACAATTATGGACGGGGATCTCGGGATATTTCCCAGGAAGCGAGGCAAGAGAGTTCGTATGGGAGAATCTTGGGGGAGAAGCTTACGTACGACTGTGTTCCCATGATGCATGTGGGTATTGTAGGGCTGGCTGGTCCTTTTGTAGTGTGGCTTGAAACGAGTAACCCCCGCATTGATAAGATTAGATCAAGAGCATCTTGCCAAGAATCAACTCGGCAGACCAATTGGCCAAGGAGATTTATACAAACAAAATCGTTCATTAAAGATTCGCTCTGGACATTCTCTTATCACTGCACTGTATATTGCATACCCTCCTTGGAGAGAGTCCAACCAGGGGTTCATAGCTTGCGGACCATAGAGGTTTACAGAAGCTCTTTCTATCTTGGTAACTGTCTGCATATTATATACCGTGAAATATAATAAGGATACATGGCTATACTGCGGACTTTCAGATGATTGCCGTGATACAATCCGCGATCATATGCACGTGCGTAGCTCATCATGGGCAGGACACATAGGACACAAGTGACTTATTTTACAAAATGTTTTGCTCGGCCGAGATCATAACAGAGGGCTGGTTTTCCGGGACAATAGAGGGCTCCCACACACTCGCTTGCCTGTCCCTTGACCATGGATCCAGAAATCGGACGTTGTTTCGAAATGCGTACGAGCAGCAATGATCGGCTTGCTATGATCAGTCTAGCGGCCTGAATACCGGGAGTGGAGCCTCGGCTGGTTATACTACAAGCATTTGCCAAGCTGCTCGGACATTTTGAAGGGGGCCCTGTAAGGTTCGGCAATTGAAAGGCTTGACATTTACAACAAAATACCGCAATATCATCACCTTGATGCTGTCTCGAGAACAGCCTTTGGGTATTTTGTGACGCGGCTGGCTAGGGTCCCTGGCTTCTGGCAGTTCATGATGGTGGAGAAGAAAACGCAGTGATCTGCGCTGGTCCGAGCGAAAGTAGAAACATGCCCCCATGGATTGCGTATCCTCTAACGCGCGTCTAAGAAAGCTTGTCCCTATAGAGCTTGGCATCATGTTGGTGGCAGACTTTTTCTATAGTATGGTGCCTGACGATCGATCTCTTGGCTCGTTGTCTGAACCAGTAGGGTGTTGTGGCTTTGCAATATGGAGCTTCTCTTGAACATGTCTATAATGATGCTTACCTAGGTGTGCATGGTCTCGAGCTTATCGTCTCCATCAACAACGACCGGCTGGGAATCCTTCTTTGGAGGCTTCCCGTAGCCGATGCTCGGGCTGTGTGTCCCAGCTGTGATTCTTGTGCCGTTGTTATCGTTGGCAAAGTAACTTGACAAGACTCCATCTTATCCATTCTTCTGCAGGTCAAGTCTTTCTTCCCGGGATATCGTCCGCGTAATCTAGAGCTCTGTGCATATGCTCGTGCAGACCGTGACCGACTTGGATGTTGGGTGTAACGACGTGAAGTTCAACATGATGTGAAGAAAAAGGTTAGTATGCTGGTGAGTTCGTGTCAACATTGAGGTATCGCAGAGTCAAATTCTGTATAAGTAGCTCAAAGGTTCGTGCGATTTGAGGACCTTCTCTCGACACCAAGCAACTTCTGATCAAGAAAAAGCCACCATGTATTCATCGATCTTGTCTACTTTTCTCGTCTCTGGTCTTGCTCTTGCAGCACCGACTGCACGAGATGACACTGATGCAGCTCTGACTCAATTTTATGAATTGTTGGCTGAAGCATCTGCAAACCAAGCAGCTTTCCTTGCATCGAATGGAAGCTCAAACTGCACAAGCGAAAATACAGTTGTGCGAAAGGCATGGTATGTCATCAACCAAGTTGAAAAATAAAACGACGATCTGACATAGTAAGGGGTTCCATGCCCGAGGCCGACCGAAAGGCTTATACAGATGCTGTTACCTGTCTGCAAAGTCTCCCAGCCCAGACTCCTAGCGACTTGGTCCCTGGAGCCAAGAGCAGATATGATGACTTTGTTGCTGCACATATGAACCAGACACTGACCATCCACTATACGGTGAGTGTTGATGATTGGGACCATGTGATGATTCATTCGGCTAATGCCAGTACAGGGCAACTTCCTCTCCTGGCACCGCTGGTTTGTTTACTCGTATGAGCAGGCCTTGAAGGACGAGTGTGGCTACAACGGGACCCAACCGTAAGTTTGGACCTAAAATTATACGAGGGAAGACACTAAAACAAGGCAGCTACTGGAACTGGGGCCTTTATGCCTCTGACCCGGCGTCGTCGCCCATCTTTGACGGAGGCGACTACAGTATGGGTGGCAATGGCGAGTACATTCCCGGCCGCGGAGATCTTGTTCTCACACTCGACGAGAACAACACCGTCTATCTTCCCGCTGGAATGGGTGGCGGTTGTGTACAATCCGGTCCGTTCAAGGACATGGTTGTCAACTTGGGGCCCGTGGCTCTGCCTCTGAACAACGGCTCTACTGCCACCAGCGCCAACAATGGTTACGATTGGAATCCGCGCTGCCTAGTGCGGGATGTCACCACCGAAGCCAACTTGGGGTACGCCAACAGCACGTCCATGCTCAACCTCCTCACAAACCCCGACAATATCAAGGACTTTCAAGAGCTCATGCAAGGTCCCATTGGCTCGGGTGACCTTGGTGTTCACGGCGGCGGCCACTACACGATTGGTGGAAATCCTGCAGACGATGTGTACATTTCACCCGGTGATCCCATCTTCTTCCTCCACGTAAGAATCCCCTTGACACGAGAAACCCACCGGCAACGACTAACTTTTGTTTTCATAGCATGGCATGATCGACTTGATGTGGTGGCTTTGGCAGTACCTTGACATTGAAAATCGTCAATACGTGATTTCTGGCACCCGAACGTTTCAAAACTCGCCAGCCTCTGATAATGCGACATTGGACGACATTGTCGAACTCGGTTACGCTGGAGGCTATCCAATCACCATTCGGGAGCTGACAAACACTGCCGAGGGCCCACTGTGCTACACGTATGAGGCATAGATTCACATGGCATGGTCTTCAGACCGGGATATCTAATATTTTGACTTATAATAGATTGAATCGTGCTCTTTTCTCATTAATATACTCCATTATGTCAAGTTGAAGAATTCTCCAAGGACAAGAACATATCCTATGTGTATCCCATAGTGCCATTGAGCAATGGAACACTCACCAAATCATTGTCGAGACTCCCTTTCTCCATAGTACGGTAACTTCCAATCCCCATCGTGGCTTGAAAACAAGTCGATAACAGCCTGAATGCGGAATTTGGCTGCCACTTGCAGAACAAAGCGAAGGACCCAAATGCCCAAATGGGACTTTGGAAACATGAATTCCGGGCTCGCAGGCAGTTCTTGGACTATGTTGATGAAAGGTCGGTATGCTGTCTCATAGCCCTTGAAGGCGGCATCAACGGCGGCCATATCGCTGGAGTGCTTGCAATGCTTTGCAATCTCCCCTGCAAGCACATATGCGCCAGCAATACCGCAGGTAGTACCGGATCCACTTAGTGGTGAAGGGCAAGATGCTGCGTCGCCAACTCTTAATAGAGGCGTCAGATTAGTCAGCAAGCAATTCTCAATGTTATCGGAGAAGACTAATGCCACTTACAGGACTACTCGACCTTGGTGCCATGACTCCATTTTGACTTGGCCAACGTGCTCATGGTAGAAGTTCTTGGCCTCGTCGCTTCCAAGCATTCCGGAAATGAGTCTCTGCGACTGCCAGCCTGCGTCTTGAAAGGTCTTGGCCCAAAACTTCTTTTGCTCATCAATAGGTTGTCTATCTATGGCATCCGCTTCAGCAGAGTCGGTGACAATGGAGAAGTAAGCTTGAAGCGTATCAGGGTGGTTCTTGCGAGTCGCCACAAAACGTCTTTGCGTCGTATGGTACGAGGTAAACTCCCAACCGTCATCAGGGTGGCTAGGGACAGAAAAGTAGGCGACGCGGAACCTCAGAGAGCGGAAAGGATCTGGGCCACTGTAGTCTGTACCCAGCATCATCTTTCTGGTTCTCGACCGGATCCCGTCTGCACCAATGAGCATATCAAATGTCTCCTCGTGGCCATCGGAAAAGCGCACTTGGACCGAGTTCTCATCCTGCGTAAAACTTTCGACGGTCCTGTTGAAGATATATGTCACCGAGTCCTTGGTGGCCTGGTACAGTATCTCGCAAAAGTCTCCCCTCATAATCTCGTATTCGGTGGTGAAGCTTTTCTCGTCCGTGTTGACTCCAAAAAAGGCAAATTGTCGGTTTCGGTCGTCGACAAACTTCAGTCCTCTCTCGGGCACGACTTTGGACTTGAACGTTTCCATCAGTCCCATTCGCTTGACTACTTCAACAGCAGGGCCTCGAATGTCAATCTGCTGCCCGGCGGCTCGCAGCTGGGAGAAGCGCTCAACAATGGTGACTTCATGGCCGGCTTTGGTCAGCCAGAAAGCAGCTGTTGGGCCAGCGAGGCCCGCACCAGTGACCAGGATCCTCAATTCTATAGATGGTGGCTTTCAGAATAGTCGCAATTGTATTTGAAGATCCAAACACGACGACTAATATACTATATATATATATATACATATTGAGATTTCTGAGAGCATAATAGCGATTATACCACTGCCAGTCTCAGGACGACTACTTTGAAAATATCGCGGTACTTACATGCACCGACCGCCGATGATCATCTAATATCGGACATTCTGACTTTGCCGAAGTCTTTATAGGCTTGCAAATTAAAATTGGGGCTTTGTCGTGCGTGGTGGAACGTCGAGTCATCCGGCGTCAACCCCACACAATGGACTGTATTCCGCTTAGTCAACGGGAGCGGGTGCCATTTAGTATCCGATATAGTGAATTTATTATATGGGCTGAGTGCTCCAGAGTATAATACGGGAGGAACAAAAAAGCCAATCACTGATTTAATCATGGCAATTCAAATTGTATAGAATATCAAGGACTGCAAGACACTGGAATTTACTCTTAGCACGCTTGACCATCACCACTATGCCCCGTCTAAGCATCGTAATAGTTCTCTTTTGTGCTGCCGCAAGCGCATTTACGTCGTTGGTCCATCAACGACTGGTTCCGGAAGCACGACAGCTATACAAATTCGATGCAAACACCACTCTGGAGAATATTGCCGTCAACTCCTTGGATGGAAAGCTCGTCATTACCAGCTTCGAGGGACGGTTGTACACCTTGGATCCCTATAGCAACGACACTGAACCTTTTCTGGTCGGCCAGCTTCCCGGGGTGGATGCCTTATTTGGCATCGTGGAGTTGGCCCCAAACACATTTGCCATTGCGGGAGGAAATTTGACCGAGTTTCGACTAGAGCCAGGGTCTGCAAAGATATTCAAAGTCTCACTGGGCTCTCCAAAAGCAATCGATGTGATTGCTTCGATTCCTGACAGTACGTCGATAAATGGCATGGCTCTACTACCCTGGAACCCGGACATTGTTCTCGCCGCGAATTCTGAGAATGGCTCGATATACCGAATCGATATTCGTACGGGTCATGTCGGCATTGCATTTTCCGATAGTATCTTGGCACCAGTAGACACTGGCAATGTCCCACTCGGTGTCAATGGTATAAAAATCTGGAACTCTGATTTATACTTTACAAACAGCGCGCAAGGGTTGTTTGGTCGAATTCCGATTACTCGAGACGGCGGCAAGGCCGGAAATGCCACCATCTTGTCGACCCTTCCGAGTTCAACAGGAGATACCTATGACGATTTTGCAATCATATCGCAGTGCGAGAGAGTGTATGCGTACATCGCGACCCATGGGAATAGTATCAGGAAGGTTGGGCTTGACGATCCTATCGAGACTATTTATTTCGGAGACGGAAATAGCACCACTGTAGAGCAGCCGTCAAGTTTGGCGTTCTCAAGAGACCGTAAGATGATGTATGTAGTCACAAACGGGTTTCTTACAGGCCCTGATCAAGGCGGGCAGATTGTAGAAATCAGTGCAATCTAGCCTCTGCGTTCAGTGCAACGAGATATGCTAATGTCATTGTCTCATGAGGAATAGAGTTTCATAAAGTTACATAGCTCACAACTACCCATTGGCAGCACATCGAGGCGCATAGAGGGGAGTTAAAACGTGAACATACTGGATTGAGTTGCGACCGTTGCATCCTGTACTGTCTCACCAGAAATCTCGGCTTTCATATTCACTTTAATCTCAGGATGTGCACAAGGTTACGCGAGCATTCAAAGTAGCGCCGGCTCTTGTTCCAATGATGAACCGATCACTCACCATTTCGAAATCTTCTGCTTTGGCGCTTGGCAATTCAAAGTTGAAGCGTTGCACGAGGGCGGCGATAACGAGATACATTTCTGCCCAGGCAAGACTGGAAGAACATCAGACAATCACAACGCCTTGGAAAACTCCATAACATAAGAGAAAGAAGCGAAGGCTTACTGCAGGCCTAGACACATTCTCGTACCCTTTGAGAATGGGGCATACGTCTTTTCCAGACGCTTGCGAGCCTCAAGGTCCATCCATCTGTCAGGCCGAAAGGACAGTGGCTCCGGATATAGTTCCTTGTTTGTGTGCATCAAAATAACTGTCATGCTGACTGGCGTTCCAGCTGGGATGCAGTATTTGTCGTACACAAGTTCTCTATCGGGGGCGATGCGTGCCATGCGCGTGGAAAGTGCCGGACTCAATCGTAGTCCCTCCATGAGCACCGAAGTCAGGTAAGGTAGCTGCTCCAGCATCTTTGCGTCAATGTTTTCACCTACCGGTGAAGCGGGAACAGCCAATGTAGCGAGTTCGGCCCGCAGGCGATCAAGGATTTCAGGGTTGCTATATATGTGAAATGCAATTAATCGCAGCACTGCAGATGTTGTTTCGAAACCGGCGCCCGTGGTCATTGACACGTCTGGCTGAACACGCAAAATTGTCTTTTCGGATGCAGGGAGTTTGGAGTCGTAGATTTCATGGACCATGGTGCGGGGTGCCTCATCGACAGAAGGCGTAGCCGCCTCTTTCAGAAGCTTCGTCGTGTCTTCTCCGCTCTCCTGTACCGGGCGTTAGCGGTCTAAAGTCCCCATGTACTATTCGCTTCATTCACATACCTCCAGATACTCAAAGAATGCCTTTGTGCTTTCGTCGGCCGTTTTTACCAACAATCCTCGAGGTATCGATCTCATCATTCGGTTGAACCACGGTATAAATTTGTTGGTACGCCACATTACTCCCCCTTGCTGCAAGATTTGTGTCGTGGCAACATTGAAATCATCTTTATCTAAGGCTCCATATGTCTTGTTGATGATATATTGGCATGCAATGTCACGCGCGACAGCGCTTATGGCTGCTCCCAAGTCAAACGTATTACCATTTAGCTCTGTGATTCGGTCACAAAGCTTGGCAACGTTTCGCTGGATAATATCCTGTCGTGCGATGACCTTGGCTTTGGAGAAGAAATTGTTGAGCGCAAGTCGGCGGACCTTGTGCAAATCGTGTGGTGCAGTGCTATGTAGTATATTAGTATGCAGCGCCGGCAATCAAGTGTGTGCGATAGAGGGAGGAGACGTGGAAGATGGCATTAAGTCGTCATCCAGCTAATCAAAGTTATCGATCAATGCAGTAAATGCTCACCAAAGCGTGGAACCTGGCGCAACAAACCCATCATATGACCATGAATACTTGTCCCATCGTCCATCATGACGGTAGAGCTTCTCGAAATAGGAAGGGTCGTTTATATGAAGCTCGTGGGGGCTTATGCGAATGATGGGCCCTATGTTGTGGTCTAGTTTAGCATCGAATATAGTGCGCTCTAAGCGTTTGATAGCAAATCTATAGACGTACCATATTTTTCGTGCAACTCGGCAATTTTGAATGTATACTGACCGCTGCGTACGAGATCATAATATGCCTCGTACAAGAGTGTTGAAGCGGCTAGTTTTGGGCCTGGGAATCGCGCGAGAGGGTGTAGCACAAGGCGATAGAAAACCAATGTGACGAGGTAGATTGCAGATGCCACAATGACATTACTTATCGACAGCGCCTCGCTCAGCCTGAAAGACACGCCCATGCTGCTCAAATTTTATGTTTGCACGTGCAATGTTATCTTGGAACGAGCTGAATAAAAAAGATCTAGATGAAATTTGAAGTGCCGAGGCTCTATTTAAAGTACAAATATTGGTTGCTACTGCAGGAGGACTCATGCATCATGCTGCTTAATATGTTGTCCATGTCGAAACGCAGCATAATTTGCAAGGTGCTCGAAATCGCTTTGTTGCTTTACAGCGGGGTAAGCAAGGGTAGAATTAGGCCGTTGGCCGTTGGCTTGGGCATCATCAGCCACAGGAAGAAAACAACTCCGTTGGGGGCCAGGGCTGCTAGCTATACTCTGTACCAGATGCAAAGTTCGTAAGACACTGAACTGTGCCGCAACCTGAGGCGCCATCATGTCAACTGACAGGATCAAACTTGAACATAACATGCCAGCGAAGGGCAAATGAGTGAAATATGTCACAATACACTAAAGAGTCACCATACGTTACCTTCGGCTGTGTTACGGGTGCACCCGATTTTCGGCACCGGATATATAATTGATCCGGTGCCTAAATAGGTTACGATAGAATTTGCGTATAGGAAATAGCTTCCTTTTACTTAAGCTAATTTATAAACTATATCTGGCTATAATTACGTAATTATACGTATTTAATAAGCCTATTATATATAAATTAGCTTTATTTTTACAATTTTATATAAATTAATAAGGTGTTTATAAAGTTTTTAGTATTATTTCCTATTTTTAATAGCGTAATATCCGAAAATCTTAATAAATACGAAATCGCTTTAAAATTTCCTTTTTTTAATAACCCCTCGCTTTTCCCCTTAATATACGATATTATTAAATGGTGGGGTTTTTACCACTGCACCACAAAAGATTAGTTCTTATCGATTCTTAGTCATAATGCGCTTATTAGCACTTATCTAACACACCCCCTCAGCTTGGACGTCTTTTACGGGCGAGCTGGAGATCTTTGGTTCCTAGTATTTTTTGCTCCGTGACGTTGCTGTTATTTTTTTTTTTTAGGTTAGGTGGTCGACACTTGATTTGAACTTGTGACCTCTACGCTCAAGTTTTAGTCGGCGGAGGCAGTGAGACTCTTAATTATTAAATGGTGGGGTTTTTACCACTGCACCACAAAAGATTGGTTTTTATCGATTCTTAGTCATAATGCGCTTATTAGCACTTATCTAACAGATATTATAAAAGGTTCCGACCCCGAAGATATAGCTTAAGCCTTTTATAATAGCGCTTTTAGTTATTATAAAGCCGCTAAATAGCCTTTTTAGGACGGAAAAACAGAATCCTTTAAGCTTTTTTTTATTATAGCGAAAATAAAAATAATAAAAAACCGTTATTTATTAAATAATAAATAGCTTATTTATTTTAATTTTATAATAACTTTCCTAAAAAATAAGCGCTTTCGCGTAACGTAATAATTTATTAGCATTAATCCTAAATAGTTTAAATAAAAAACGTTCCTTAAAAAAATCGAAAACTAATTTATCGATAAAAAAGCTAAATAAATCGCGGATAATCGCTTAATTCGGATAAAATAAAAGGAAAATTAAAAGTTTTCCGATTTTTTAAACGATTTTAAATATTAGCTCGGTTTTAATAAAAGATTATTGCACGGATGTTAATACAGCATCGTATAATGCATAAAATTAGCTTTATAACGCATATTATATCGTTATAACAGCTATAAAACCCATCGAAATATCGTTAAATAACAATATATAGGAAATTAATAAAATTTACCTTATATTAACTTATAGTTAATATAATACCACTTATAGCCACTATTCATAATGCTATATAATTAACAAATTATTATAATTAACTATTATAGCCACTATAGCCACTAGAACCTACTAAAATCTAATAAAACGTTTTACTAGATCTAGCCCCACTAAGTATAACCAATATACCTAGCTATAATGGCCCTAGGTTACAGGGTAACCCACACTATAAAAATCTATAGATTTCGATGGTTTCTTCGATTATAAATTAACCTTATTATTAATTAATTTAATTATAAATCTAATTTATTAGTAATATATTTCAAAATATTCTTATTAGTTAATTTTATAGGTATAAAAAGTAATTATTCCTCCGTAATTAATTATTTTTTCTTTAAACTTTAATAAATTAGTTATATAGCCCTATAACTACCTTTTACGGCCTGATTTTACGAATTATATAAACGCTTTTTTATGCCTAAGTTTATAATTTACTAATTATACCTTAAAACAGGTTATAAGCCCGGTCCGGTATAATATCGATTATATTAGGAACCGGACTTTATATCGAAAACTATAGCCGCTCTCCTAAATGAATTAATTTAACGTAGATTTTAGAATTCCGTTATAATAGCCGATCTTTTATAGGCTTATATATAAGCCTATATAAGCCGTAATTATATCGAAAATTATAGTTAAATGGCTAATTATAATGATTTTACCCGTTATAGCCATATAACGGCTATAAAATCATTTATAACTAATCCCTATTATAATAGCCGATTTATTATAGCACCTTATAGCACCTGTTATATTATATTATAGCATTTGGATCCTTTTATATATTTTATCGATAAAATAAAAGAATTAATTTCTTTTATTTTCATTGTCTTAACGATTCCTTTACCGTTTTTAACGATAATTATACCGTTATAACGGCAAAAATTCGGCAAAATGGATAACTTTATCCGTATTATTGCCGGATGCCAAATGCCGGAGAAACAAAAGTTTTCCGGATCCGAAAACTAGAATACGTAAAAATCCACATTACAGTTATATTTTAAACTGCTAGGAATCGATCGGTTTTTTAAAACTACCGATATATATAACGGTATAACCGATATTTAAAAAGCCTAGGTGTTCTAAAATATAATTGGTGGATTATAAATTTAGGCACAGGGAAGCGTTTATATAATTCGTAAAATCAGGCTATAAAAGGTAGTTATAAGGCTATATAACTAATTTATTAAAGCTTAAGGAAAAAATAACTAATTACAAAGGAATAACTACCTTTTATACCCATAAAATCAACCAATAAAAATATTCTAGAATATATTACTAATAAATTAGATTTATAATCGAGTTAATTAATAATAAGGTTAATTTATAATCGAAAAAACCATCGAAATCTATAGATTTTTATAATATAAATTACCTTATAACCCAGGGCTATTATAGCCAGGTGCACTAGCCACATTTAGTGGGGCTAAATCCAATAAAACGTTCCACTAGATTCCAGTAGGTTCTAATGGCTATAATAGCCATAATAATTAATTATAATAACTTATTAATTATATAGCATTATAAATAATAGCTATAAATAATATTATATTAATTATAAATTAATATAAGGTAAATTTTATTAATTTCCTATATATCGTTATTTAACGATATTTCGATAGGTTTTATAACTATTATTATAACGACTACACTACGGGTTTTTAGAATAAACCTAAAATATAAGAGGTGTTAGGGTTTATGCTAATAAGGAACGATAGCTTTAAAAAAAATACTAAGCAATAAATATCTAAAGGTAAGGGTAATCGAACTAATTTATAAATATAATCGTTAAAGCGTATTAAATGCTTTATTTATAAGTAAAATAAATGCTTAAATTAATTATTAAGGTAATAACTATCTATATAGGAAATCTTTTTATAATATATACTTATTTATTCCCTTACTAATATTCTTAAATCACTATTATAATAATAATGCTTATGTTTAGCTTATTAATCTTATTATAAATTTTACTTTTGGATTACTAATCTAATAGTAAGCTTACTAATAATTATTAATAATTAGCAAGGGTGCTGGCCTGTTTTTTATTTAAAATATTTGCGGATTTCGGTTTTAAGCCCCGCATATTATTTTCTTAAGCGCTAATATCCTTTATTTACCGTATATAAAAATGCATATTTATAATATTAGCTCCTTTTTTTATATTTTTTATCCTCGAAAAACTTTAAATCGCATAAATAGGTCGTGGTTCCTATTTCTATTCCTTTTTTTAGCTTTTTCGTTTTTTTATATATTTATTTATAATATATGCTTTATTATATCGCCCCGTATCGCAAAACCTGCTAACGGCGAAAAAAAACTTTTAAAAATTAAATAATAATATTGTTTTACGGCTTTAATCGAAAAGCTTGGTTTCGACGTTATGCTTTATTCCTTATATTATAAGCGTAATTAGAAATGTCGAATAATAAAGGGAACGTCGCGGTATAAAAAATGTATTCGTCGCGGTCGTTTTTATAATAGGACCGGTATCCTAATATTTTCCTTATTTCGGATAATAAACGAGTCGCAATGTTTACGGCGGAAAAAAAAGGAAATTTTTAAGCTTTTCCGTCGTTTTTACGAGCAAATTGCTATTGCGTTAGCTAAATTTAAGCGCTTTCGTACCTAACGGGATTATTTAGTAACCCGTAATACGGAGATGGTAAATCGTAATTTTTAATCCCTAAATAAGCTAAAAAAGGATAAGCGGGCGGAGGCGGAAGCCGTAGCCGAGGTTTAATTTTTTAGGGGTATAAACGTTATTAATTAGTTTTCGATTAAAATCGGAAATAATTTTAGAAATTTTAGTTTTTTAGTTTTAATTAAAAATAATATTTAAAGGCAACGTAATCCTTTATATATTTCCTAGGTTCCTAAATATTTTCCTTAGGTAAGTAACCCTCCTATTTAACGTAGAATTAGTATCCGCGTCCGATTTTTTTATAATTAATAATTTTTTTAACGTTATATATTTGCTAATTTGGTTCGGTTTTTAATATTTCGTCGATTTTAGCGTTTTTTAATGCTAATTCGAATAATAAAATATAAAAGGTTTTATGGTTTTTTATAATTTTTAATAGCTTAAATCGATAATTAATATTCGAAATTTTTTTATCGATCTTAAATAATCCTAATTTCTTAAAATCGAATTTATCGCTTAATCGTTTTATTTTAATATTTTTGCGTAAAAGGTAAACTTTATCTCCTTTT